CGGGGGGGGGGGTCAGTGTTGGTGTCAGTGTGGGGGGGCAGTGTGTGGAAGTCAGCGGGGGGGGGGTCAGTGTGTGGGTGTCAGTGTGGGGGGGGCAGTGTGTGGGTCAATGCATCGGGGAACAGTGGGGTGGGGGGAAGTCTGGATAGCCAGTGTGGTGGAGCTGTGTGTGGGGGACAATTTTTGGGGTGCAGAGTGGGGGGGACAGTGTGGAGGGGGGGGCAGTGTGGTCCAGACAATGTCAGTCCCTTGATTCTCTCCATTGACACGGGCCCAGGCTGACTGTTTGACTTTGAGATAAGGCTCAGGTCGGTGTCAATTGAGAGACACAGAGAAAGAGACACACACACAGACATAGAGAGAGACATATACAGACATAGAGAGCACAGAGAGAGAGACACAGAAAGCGACAAAGGAAGACATAGAGCGACAGAGCGAGATGCACACAGAGAGAAATCCACACAGACACAGAGAGACACAGAGTGAGACACACACATGCGGAGGCACACGAGATAGGGAGAATGTGAGAGAAGAGAATCTATGTGGTGAATAATGCAGAAACCAGGGTCCTCTGGGACAGTTGAATAGATGGAATGTTCTGGAAGCCACTGGTTAATTTCCATTGACGATGTTGTGTTTGATATTGGAGTTGAAAACGCTGCAGGTTTGACTGACTGACTGACAGCTCAGCTCTAAGAAGCTTTCCTCAGGAGCCCATCCACCCACAGGGCTTACATTTGGCCAATAAACCATTGGATATAACAGTGTCCTGCAAGCCAGCCAAGCGGCAGACAGTCTGAGGCTAAAACCGAGAGAGAGAGAGAGAGAGAGTGATTGGGGGAGGGAGAGATACAAAAAGTCTGTTAGAAGGTATTCCAAGATGTTCTGTATCCTTGGCAACAATAAGCCACGTTTTATTGATGAGAAGCAACATCAATTAAACTTGTAGTGGAAATGAGCCAAAAAGAGAGAAAGACAGAGACAAGGGGAGGAAATAATGGATTGAGGGTTGTTCCCACCTCCGCACTCCCCCCCCCCCCCCCCATCACCCCCATCACCCCTTTGCGATCCATATGCAGTACAGGTGGGGTTGGGGGGGAGAGAGGGGGGAATGGAGGCAGATGAAGTTTAATGTGGAGCAATACAAAGTGATGCATTTTGAGAGGAAGAATGAGGAGAGGCAATATACGCTGATGGGACAATCTTACAGGGGGTGAAGGGACAGAGAGACCTGGGGGTCATATAGTAAATGTTTGAAGGTGGCCGGACAGGCAGATAGAGCTGATAAAAAAGCATATGGGACACTGGGCTTTATAAATAGGGCATAGAATACACAAGTCAGGAAGTTAATAATAATAATAATCCTTGCATTTGATATAGCGCTTTTCACGTCGGGAGGACGTCCCAAAGCGCTTGTTATGATGAAGTTATGATGAAGTTATGATGAACCTTTATATAAAACACTGGTTAGACCTCAGCGAGAGACTGTGTTCAGTTCTGGGCCCCACACTTTATGAAGGATATCAAGGCATTGGAGATTGACCAGGAAGGTACCAGGAATGAGGGCCTTCAGTTATCAGGAGAGGCCGGAGAAGCGAGGATTATTCTCTTTAATGTGCTGGGAGGATCTCAGCTGTGTTTCAACAACAACAACTTGGATTTATATAGCACCCTCCATACCGGAAGGCATCTCAGAGCGCTTCGAGAAACCATTGGTTGTATGGTTATTTCACACACAGAGAGAGAAAGAGAGAGACTGGATCTAATCTCTGGATCCTGAAACCAGGAGCTGTTCACGTACCTGTCTCCCCCAGAGTCTCAGACTCAAGGTCGAAGAGACAGAGCAGCAGAACATTGAGTAAATCTGTCCGTAAATACAACATGAAGAAACGAGGATCCTGAGACCAGCGTCTCACACCAACCACACTCGGGACATGGAATCACAGTCTAAGCTGATCCTGCAGGGCAGCGTTGGGGGATGTGCTGTATTGTGGGAGGTGCCGTCCTTCAGATGAGACATTAAACCGAGGTCCTGTCTGCCTGTTCAGGTGGATGTTGAAGATCCTGTTTTCTCTCTCTCTCTCTTTCCCAGGGTCCTGGCTGACAATCCCCCAAAATATAAAATTAATCATTTATTTCATAGATTAACAGTTATGAGACATTATTGTGAGCAATTGGCCCGTCGTATCTACCTACAAATACAGTCACTCCATTTCATGGTAATTTCTGTGAAGCGCTTTGAGGGGTCCTTCCGATGTGATAGGACTCCAGCAACACCCAGCAGTATAATAATAATCCTTGCATTTGTTAACCAGCTAAAACCACACAGCTTACCATTGATGGCACTGTCTGGCAAGCTTTCTGGCTGCTTGTCCAGCTGGGACCACCCCTCCCATTAGGGCTTTGGCTGCAGGATTAACAGGAGCCGAGAGGGAGGATTCCCTGCCCCAAGTGACTTCTCTGTGCTTCCAGGTCCTGCCGATGTGTGGCCGGGCTGTGGTCATCAGTGAGTGCCCTGGGATATTCGCGAGAGGTTTAGTCAGAAAGTCACTCGTTGCCAAGTGATGTACAAGTTTGCTGTGAGCTTCACCCGACCTACACACAGCCCTTTCCTCGGCTCAATCCCATCCTGTCATTCAATCACTTTGTTTTAATCCTAAACAACTGAATCCTTATCCCCAGATCCTCACTGTGTAACTTATTCTTCCCAGGATCTCAAGACAGAGGATCTCCCCACCACCCCCCCACACTCCGCGCGCCCCCACACCCACCCACCCCACACGCCACCACCCCACACTCAGCCCACTCCCCTCCTCACACTAACCCCTCATTACACTCCCCCCTCACATCCCCCACCCTCGCACTCCCCCAACACACCCCTCACATCCCCCACCCTCGCACTCCCCCAACACACCCCTCACCCTCCCTCACACCCCCCTCCCTCTCTACACTCACACGTTGCTTTAATCACTTTAATTCCCCCAGTTTGACCTTTCCCTGAGCAGCAGTCGGGGGCGACTGAAACTTCTCTATAATTTTGTATTTAATATAAAGTGTTTCACATTGAAACTGAAACATCTCAAAAGGATTTTACAGAAAGTTACTTTGCAGCACAGCGTCAGTTATATGGATAAAAGTGTTATAGATGTTAAATCCAACCTCTCTTCCCAACACACACACACATCTGCTCACACACCTTCCTACACACACACGCTCAAGACATCAGCACATCCAGCTTTAAACATTAACCTTTAATCAGTGAGCTATCTTTTGATTATAAATTGATGAATACCTCATAAATAAACTATTAGCAACTGATGAGGAGATTCCATCATTAATCGGGGGAGGAAAGAGCTTGGAGCAGTGAGGTGGTAGAAATACATCGTTGTGAACGGCATTTAATCTGATGTCTTTGTAACATGACTTGACCCTGTTCAAGCTTGTGGTTGTACTTCCTCTTCGTTCATCGGTCACCTCCCCCCTCTCCAGCATCTTGCTCCGCCATTGTCAAGCGTTCTCAGACGCTATCCTGCGTAAGGGACACTGTGTAATTGCAAGTTGTTGCTGTGAAAGTTAGATGGGAAAGAGAAAGGCGAGGCTGAGAGCGAGCGAGGCTGAGAGTGAGCAAAGCTCAGGGTGAGAGGCTGAGAGTGAACGAGGCTGAGAGTGAGTGAGTGAGGCTGAGAGCGAGCGAGGCTGAGAGTGAGCCAAGCTCAGTGTGAGAGGCTGAGAGTGAACGAGGCTGAGAGTGAGTGAGCGAGGCTGAGAGTGAGCCAAGCTCAGTGTGAGAGGCTGAGAGTGAACGAGGCTGAGAGTGAGTGAGCGAGGCTGAGAGTGAGCAAAGCTCAGTGTGAGAGGCTGAGAGCGAGCGAGGCTGAGAGTGTGAGAGGCTGAGAGCGAGCGAGGCTGAGAGTGAGCCAAGCTCAGTGTGAGAGGCTGAGAGTGAACGAGGCTGAGAGTGAGTGAGTGAGGCTGAGAGCGAGCAAAGCTCAGTGTGAGAGGCTGAGAGAGAATGAGCAATTCCCGCCAGGACAAAGGACAAGTTTCTTTGCTCCAAAGGCCCGATGATAAACCCTTGAAAAAAAACAATAAATCGCTCTCAATCCATGTAGATGCTGCTGTGTGCAATTGGCTGCCCCGCTTTGCCCACAAAATATACATTCACTTTGCAGTATATTCTGTAAATCATAAGGAGGCCATTCGGCCCATTGTGTCTGTGCCGGCTCTTTGAGGAGGTTCCCAAATCAATCCCACTCCCCCGCTGCTGCAGGGAGAAAGCCCCATCGAGTCTCCAGATCCCGCTGCTCCAACTCAACATCTGTGCAAGCCCAGCTCACACTTCACACGTGGAACGTATCCCAGGTGTGACTACAGCTCATGTGTGCAGGCACACAGCACCCACACACTGCTATTATGTACACAGCAGCTTACTCTAGAACACACTAACACAACTCAAACGGCACACAGTCGAGTGAAAGCATCAAACCAAGACTTGTCTTGGGAATCAAAGCATAAAGTAGGATGACGGAGGCGTGCTGTGGTTTCACGGTCGATACAATGAGTGCATTCCAGGAAGAGAGGGTTTGCATTTCTGTTCCTGTTACAATCAGCTGAGCTGAGCTCCACACTCTCTCACAGGCTGCTGCCACCTGCCGCCATTTCAAAATCAGCTCCTTTTCCAAATGACATTGCAATGTCACTAATTGTATTATCAGCACGAGGCCTGAATTAATTATAGATTTAATTACACTCAGTGTAATTTACTATTTTGTATAAATTATAAACTTTTAATATATCACACTTTGATTGTCAGTTTTAAATGTTTGACATTAATAAAATCCCCAGAATATCTTAAGAGTTATTCAGATATGTGCATATGAAGATTAACAGGTGTTCTGAGTGTGTATCTGCCCTTACACAGGGCTCAGTGACAGTTACACTGCGTATATCTGCCTTTACACAGGGCTCGTGGTGTTAGGAGTGGCCACACAGGAAAGGTGCACGTTTACAAAGCTTTTAATGAACTGAACATCAAGCGGAGGAAAGCAAAAAAGATATTGTAAACTTCAATAAAGCAAAGTCTTGCTAATTGCTGAGGCGATGCCCTGGAAGGTTTCATTTATCCAGTCACTTCTGAAGGTAAAACGTCCACTCGCTCCACCTGTGTCTGCAAATAAAAAGCACTGCACGTTAACGCTATTCCTGAGAAGCAACAGCTCCATTGCCATCAGCTCCTCAAGCTGCTTTACTTCCTGTGAGTCTGACAGCATTTCCCATGTTACAGCTGCGGGCGGCCAGACTCTCGTGCACAGTGAGTGCCTAACTCCGCGCCCCCAGCAAACTCACACTCTCAGCAACGTAAACAAACAGAACTCACCGACACGTGGCTCAGAAGTCCTTATAGTGGTTCAGTCTAGGAGAAGAGATATCATTAGAACAATAATAACAATAATGATCCTTGCATTTGATACAGCGCCTTAACAAATCGTTGAGACTTCTCAAAGTGCTTCACACGATATACAGTAAAGTGGAGTGACTGTATATTTTGTAGAAGAAACGCAGCAGCCAATTGCGCACAGCAGGGTCCCACACACAGTCATGGATTGAGTGATCACACTTTTGAGTTTTTTTTGAAGGGGTTATTACCCCAGGAAAGCGATCCGCCAATCGACTAACAACTGGATTCAACTGCTGGGTAAACAGAGGCGAGTGGAGTAAACTTGCCTAAGATTTTGCTCTGCCCGGGAATCCAGGCAAGTCCGCCAACCTCTACGCTATAGGACTTCCTGACAGGGAACCACTTGGAAGAGCAATGCCCAGTGGCAAATGAAATACATTCATAAACTGGTTTTAATTCTCACGTCACAGCAGCTGTACACTGGGGGCACTGCTCTCCTACATCACACACCTGTACAGCACAGCTCGGCCTTTGTTGTTTGCTACAGAGAAGAAGCCACCACGAGGAGAGAAATCCAGCGACTGAGTCATGTGGATGTGTTTCCGTCTCAAGTTGGGGAAGTTTGAGAACACGTTAAAGGAGGGAATGTGAACCTGCGAGAAAATCACACTGTTTAAAGGCAACCAGCACAGGTACTGATAACAATCTTACATTAGCTACACTCCAGGAGACTGTCACAGAGCTCAGACTCTTACAGCACAGAAGGAGGCCATTCGGCCCACCATGCCTGTACCAGCTCTTTGAAAAAGCTACCCAATCAGTCACACTATCCCATAGCCCTGCAAATGTTTCCTTTTTAAGTAACTATCCAATTTCCTTTTGAAAGCTATTATCATATCTGTTTCCACCAGCCTTTCAAGCAGTGCATTCCAGACAGTAACAACCCTCTAGGTAAACATTTTTCTCCTCTGGTTCTTTTTCCAATTATCTTAAATTTGTGGCCTCTGGTTATCGCCCCCCCCCCCCCCGCCAGAGGAAACAGTTTCTTCCCTATCTACTCATAATTGTGAACACCTCGATTAAATCTCCCTTCAATCTTCTCTGCTCTAAGAACAAGCCCAGTTTCTCCAGTCTCTCCACAAAACTGAAGTCCATCATCCCTGGTACCATCCTGGTAAATCTCATCAGCGCCCTCTCCAAGGCCTTGATATCCTTCTTCAAGTGCGATGCCCAGAATTACACACAATTCTCCAGCTGAGGCCTAACCAGCGGTTTGTAAAAGGTTCAACATAACCTGGTACATAAAGCTGCTCCCAGGATTAACTATACATGTCGTGACTGTTGGGAGAACAGGCTGGGGTACCACACACTTACCAGCCGCACGGCCTCGTCTGCTGCGTGAGAAGCAATAGCCAGGATCTCGGTGTTGGGGTTGAAGGCCAGCGCGGTGACCGCAGTGACCAGATTCATGACGGCCTTCAGGGGTTTGGGGTTCTTCTCTTGCAGACAGGAATTCTGGGAATAAATATTGACCACCCCGGAGCTGGACCTGTGAGAGCCACACACACAGCGCACAGCAATTCTTTAACCTTCTCATCACTGACAAGCAAAACTAACCAAACAGCAATGATAACAATAATATTCCTTGCATTTGATACAGCGACTTATCACGTCTTCGAGACGTCTCAAAGCGCTTCACAGGATAGACTGTAAAGTGAATTAACTGTGTATTTGTGGGCAAAATGCGGCAGCCAATTGCGCACAGCAGTGTCCCACAAACAGCTGTGGATTGAGTAACCAAATTATTATTCAAATTTTTTTTTGTTGATGGGATTACTGCCCCCGATAGTGATCCCCCAATCGACTTACTGTAAGTTCCTACTGCTGGGTAAACAGAGGCGTGTGGAGTAAGGAAACTTATCTAAGGTTTCGCCTCAGCCCAGGAATCAAGGCAAGTGTGCTAACCTATACATTTTACTCACAGATTAAAAAGGGAACAAGGCCTCACCCGAGTAGCCGAGAACCACAGGGAGTTTACAGTCAAGGAGGCTTTCCCCAACTTTCCTGGAGCCTCGATTCTGATCCCAAATCCCTGCTTCCTCCATTAGTATGTTTACTCAAGTATTTATCCACCTCCCAGACACAGCCCCGCCCTCCCAGACACAGCCCCGCCCTCCCAGACACAGCCCTCGCCCTCCCACAGCCAGAGACCAGTCACCCACCCGCAGGCCAGGTACTGGCTGTTGCATGACATGGCGATGCTCGTTCCATGCAGAGAGCCATCATCGACAAACCGATTGAGACACCTCCTGCTCCTCACATCCCAAACATACACATCGCCTCCATCTGCAGATACCAGCAACAGCAAACATCGGAGTTAGACAGCATCGGCCAACCTTCCACCTCAGTTTCTACTCCAGGAGCCAGGGTTGGCAGATGCAACAGTCAATAGTGATCAGGAATCAGGGCGCCATGTTGTAATCTCTGTTCAACATCAAAGTGTTGAACTTTAACACTCAAGAGTGGATAACGGCAGATCCCAAAACCCCAGTCAGCGCTCCTCCCCTCCTCCCCCCAACCCACAGCTTCTGCAAATCACCATTAAATGTCTTACAAATATCAGGCCCAGTTTGGTGGGACAATCATTCAGGAAGATCCCTGCTGGTTGTGACCTACAGCCACATAGAGCAGCCCATTCTTCCCATCATGCCATTTATTATATAGTTTGGGACATGACATGTGCAAGTGACTGCCAGGAGGTGGAATGTGAACTAGATGGATCGTGATCTTCTTTCGCCAGCAAATTCTTATGTCCTTATGTTCGTGTGCCACAGCTATTGCACAATAAAGACAGTGGATATTATAAAAACAGTGCTTTGCCTAAAGGAGACGAGAAGCTCCTCATTGTCAAGCCACAAACATCACCGGAATTTAACAGTAAACAAAAAAACAATTTGCTTAGCTCTTGGGGTGTGAAATGAACCTGAGCACTTATGTTCCAAGCACTTGTCCCGAGTTGTCAGAAATTGATTATTCTGTGAACTACAATTAAGGAAACATGGAAGCAAGGTGTTTGTACACACAGCAATCTTGAAGTCAAATCACTGTGTATTTTATTTAAACAACAGTGCATCAATTGCAATTCCACACAGCAAATTGAACAACATGAAGCGACACGTCTTTAAATTGGAATAGTCCCTGTGGACAGCTCCGTCACAGGCCTTGCTGGGGTGTATAAACAGGCCTGCTCCAGTGCTCTGCTTAAACTCAGTCTGACTCTGGGCTCAGAGTGTCTCTACATAAACAAGAAGCAATCCTTGCAGGTCTGTGCTGTAACACTCTAATGCCTCAAAGTGCTTCTCAGTTTATTACTGTCAAGTATAGTGGCTGTTTTTATAGGCACTAATCCCCAATCATGTCACAGGATCTCTTAACGTCCACCTGACCGAGGAAATGGACCTTGGATTAATATCTCATCCAAATGACAGCAACTTCAGACAAGGCAGCGCTCCCCAAGTACTGCACTGGAGTGTCAGCTTGGCATGTGAGCTCAAGCCCTAAAGTAAGACTTGAATCCACAACATTCTGGCCCAAAGTGGACACCAGGCACAAAAAAATGCAAAGAATTGCACGTAATATAGGTTTAAAGGGGACCGGACAGAGTCTGGCTGTAAATGCCCTGCCTGTCCCCACATTCTCAGCACAATTAATCCAGAAATCCGCTTACCGGAGTTTGTGTAGATTTTACTCCCGTCTGGAGAGAAAGTGGATGCAATGGCTTTGCCATTGACTTTCATACTGTTTATCCATTCCTTAGTCTGGAAGAGGTGGAATCAGAAAGAGAAGTTTCTATCAGTTAAGGGAAATCATTCACTCTTGTATGAAATGCATTCTGGACTAAAACGAGCTTGTGGCTTTACCTTGGCTACACTGGCAGCTCAGCAATGTGCTAACTGGACACGGATCCTCAGGGATTGTAAGATTTAATATGTTCATTTGCCAGACAAAGCTTTCAAAAAGGAATTGGATAGGTACTTAAAAAGGAATTTGCAGAGCTATGGAGTAAGAGCGGAGGAGTACGACTAATTGGATAGCTCTTTCAAAGAACCGGCACAGGCATGATGGGCCGAGTGGCCTCCTTCTGTGCTGTAATATTGTATGATTGGGACATCTCACTCCACAAACTTCCAGTGATTCCCATCACTGGGCTCCCTAACATGCAGTAATATTCTGTGGAGTGATGGGCGTTGTTCCCTTAAAATCTTAAAATTAGAGCTAGGCCATTTAGGAGTGAAATCAGGAGGCAGTTTTTCACCCAAAGTGTCGTGGAAATCTGGAACTCTCTCCCCAACAGGCTGTGGATGTTGGATCCAAATGTTGGATCCATTTACATTATCAAGACTGATATGGATAGCTATTTGTTAGTTCAGTGTATCGAGCAATATGGGCAAGGGCGGGTAATTGGAGTTGAGGTACAGATCAGCCATGATCTTATAGAATGGAGGAACAGGCTTGAGGGGCTCAATGGTCTCCTCCTATTCATATGTTCCCTCCCGCCATTAGGGAAGTGGTCTGGTGACGTACCTTCATGGAGAGCAGATGCAGGTAACCTTCAGCCCCCGTGAGCAGCAGGTAGGAGCCATCTGGAGAGACTTCAAATTTCCTAATGTGTCGTTCCTCCAACCCTGCCAACCGAAGAGGCACAAACAGGTTCATCACAAGTACAGCGGAGGTTATGAGCCAAATGGTTAGCGCACTGCCTCAGGCTGCTTCAGTCACCGAGTCACCAAGCAGAGAGAGAAACAGAGAGACAGTGGGAGAGAGAGTAAAGTAACCAAATGAGTGATAAGCAAAAATATTTCTGCCTCTCTCCTTTACAATTCCCTTCAGGTGGGAATCAAAGCTCTTTGGTGCAAAACACCACCTACAGGACCAACTCATCAGAGTCTCATTTACAGGCAAACTGTGACATTTGCAAAGGGTTAATAACTGGTTCCCTGGAATACTGGATCCTCCCAGACAGACTGGCTTCACACAAGTCAGAACAGAGGTCAGCAATGCCTCCCAAAGCAACACACTCAAGTCCTCACCTCGCACTCCACAGACGGGAAGGATCTTTCCAGCCATCATGTCGTACATGTAAAACATCTTGTTGCGGACACCAGTGGCTACGATCTGCTCTCCGTCCACAGTGAAACGCGCTTTGTACACAGGGAAGTGCTGCAGGCAGATACTCTGAATCTTCGGATTTGTCTTTCCATCAACCTGGAGAAGCACATGTGATCAGTGGCTGCCCACACCACATACACGGGCTGGCACACAGCACATACACTGGCCAGCACACACCACGTCCACGGGCTGGCACAACCGCACAAACATGGGCCGGCACACACCATGTACACAGGCCGGCATAAACGCACACAGACACAGCACTGAGTACCTGGAATAGTGAGATGGTCTGGTCCATCCCCGCAGTCATCACCACTTGGGCTGAGGGATGAAACTGGACTGTGGTTAGTCTGGTCTTGGATGGTCGCTCGTGATTGGCATCTAAACACTTCTTCACCTGTTGAGTAACATGTTCACAACCAATGAGAGGCCAGTGCGCGTGACATTCACACATCACCAGCAACAACCAGAGACACGAGCTGCTCGTATCTTTGGTGTCAACAAGTTGACATAAACTAGTTGTACAAGTTTCACACAGCGAGTTGTTGGGATCTGGAATGAATTGCCTGAAAGGCTGGTGGAAGCCGATTCAATAACAACTTTCAAGAGAGAAGTAGATAGATATTTGGGGAGGACAAGTTTGCAGGGAGAGAGTGAGGGAGTGGGATTAATTTGGATATCTCTTTTCAAAGAGCCGGCACAAGCACAATGCATGGCCTCCTTCAGTGTTGTATTATTCTATGATTCGATGAAGTTGGTACACTAGATGCCTCCGGTGAAAACGCCAGAGAAGATTAAGAGGAGCTTTAATAAGGGTCTTTAAAATTCAGAAGATTCAAAAGAACAAATCTTGAAAGATTCTTCCCACTGCTTGGTGAATTGGTACTAGGGACATAAACTCCGGAGTGTCCCTGGAGCAATAAGTTGAAACGCACTCACGTAGAGGGTTAGCAGAACATGGAACACTTTGTCACAAGCCACTGTTAAGATCGAGACCAGACCATTTAAGAAAGAATTGGATAAACATTTTAAGATAAACAACGACGATGACCTCATGCATTTATATAGCATCCTTTACGTGGGGTAGCTTCCCGGAATGCTTGAATGGCAACGGGAAAGAACAAGGACTTGGGATCATGGAGAGCAGGAGAGCACCTGGCTCCATGGTGGGAGCAAACACCGGCCAAGGCTCGATGGCATGTAAATGATTCTCATTGTCCACCCCTACTGACTAGGGACCTAAACATCCCCTCACTCACAAGGCACTGACAGAGGCTCAATCACAAGGTACATTCAAGGTACACAAGGCTCTAAAAGCACAGGCCGCGACACTTACTGCTGTTTGAGCTGCCTCACCTGTATAGTCCCTTTAGGAAGAGCTTCTGAGGCAGATACAAAATTCCCCGTTCTCCGCAGCAATTCATCCTCCTCCTCACTCTCTAATTATGAAAGAAAATATAATAATAACAGTCCATGCATTTGATATATAATGAGTAATTGATGCACTGGCCTACGGGTCAGTGCTCAGAATCCAAGATCTGAGAATCTACGGTTAATGAACCCACGATTAGATTACTCACTCCCAGCATCCATTACTCCCCGGGTGACATACATTGCTGTTGTAACTCCAGCAGTAAATAACTAGTGTGTAATGGTCTAGGCTTTGCAGGAAAGAACATGCTAGTCAGTAAGTAGTTACCGTCTCCTGAGCTGTGTGGGTCCTTTTTCCTTTTTCTCTTCTTCTCTATTTCCGCCCACACTGGCGTTCCTCCCATCGCTTTCTGGAATCTAGTGGAGACGAGGATACATTGGAATTAACCACCTCTACTCTCTAGATCCTGCCAGCACCTCACCCCTTACTCCAGGAAACATGCCATATACTCCAGGAAACATGCCTGTACTCTTCCACCTATCACCCATATCTTCACCCGACTCCACTGGCTTCCCATCACACAGAGGATACAATTCAAGATCCCAGACCTCACCTTCAAAGCCCTCCATGGCCTTGCCCCCCCCACCACCTCTGTGACCTGCTAATCCCCTACGATCCTGCTCGCTCCTTCCGCTCAACAGGCTCCACCCTGCTTTATGTCCCCCACCTCGCTCACCATTCCATTGCTGGGAGGGCCTTCAGCCACTCTGCCCCACCCTCTGGATCTCCATCCCACAGTCCCTCTTCCTCGCCCCCGCTAAGACCTGTTTCAAGACCCTGCTCTTCGACCATGCCTTCGGTCACCCTCCTTCCCCCACACTGCCCACCACGATCCCAACCCCCAGCTTGAGTCCGAAACTCTGATGGTCCAGCGCCTCGGGATGTCCTCCCGACGTGAAATGCACTAGTAATTTTGTTGTTATTGTTACTCTACCCTCTAATGGACAGCACCTGACAAAACAACCCTCTCCTAGCTCTGTGTTGCAGCGTCAGCCTACATAATAAATGCTGCCGCTGGGTCTAAACACAGAAACTTTCAACCCAGAGGCAAAAGTGGCACCAACTAGGCTAAGCTGACATTACCCTGCCTAATGTTGGCTACATTATGCCAGACATCCACTTTGTGTGATTTGATACGTACTGCTCCTTAAGCCTCTGCTGAAGCTGCTCTACGCTGAGGTTCTTTTCTGTGTTGCTTTTCTGTAAATCTTTCCGGAATCGATGCTTCATGTTCACCCTGCGAAGCAAAAGCATGTAACACGAATGAAGTTTTGAGAAAGGATAAGTACTCTCTCACTATTGAGGGTACTTTGCATTTGTCTTCACAAAAGAAGAGGATGCAGCCAATGCCACAGTATCGGAGGAGAGTGTAGAGAAATTGGATAATATAAGAATAAACTGAGAGGAGGCACTAAAAAGGTTGTCGGTGCTCAAGGGAGATAAGTCACCCAGTCTGGACAGGATGCATCCTAGGTTACTGAGGGAAGTAAGGGTGGAAATAACAGAAGCTCATATGTGTTTTATTCTGGTGTTGTGATGTATCTCGGCATACAAAAGTGTCTTTGGTTGAATTAAAAAAATAAGAGAAATGCAAGTCACAATCTTCACTACTTTTTTAATGTTACTGTTTGAAGTGTTCATTTATATTTGTTTGCAAACATTAAGCAAAAATAGAAAGACCCAAACATCTGCTCCCCCCAAGCGATCCCACTCACAGCTCCTCGGTGTCATCCTCTTCGTCCACCCATGCTGCCTTCTTGGCTGGAGGGAAACTGGACTTTGCCTCATTTTCCACCTCGGAGGCACTGGAATCATCATCATCCAACAGACCTCCACTCAGACCTCGCTGCTGTCCAAGATAACGAGGGGAAGGGTTAAAAAAATGTAACACAGACAAAAGTAGAATCACAACAGCTTCATTCTCAAAGCAAAAATAAATCCTTGTAAATCATTAAATCTGACAGCTGTCAGGCACTCCGGGCCATCGCTCCCACCACACTGTCTGAAAGTAAAGCCTACAACAACAACAACAACTTGCGATTACATAGCGCTCGATAGTGACGAACCACGACTCCGAGCCGGAGGGGGGGGAGGTCACCGTAGGCACTGGTTGAATAGGAAGCTCTTCAGGCTCGAGATGAAGATGGACCAAGGTGAAGGAATAGGGGGGGGTGCCCGGTGGGGGGGGGGGGGGGAGGTGCCGGGGGGGGTGAGAGGTGCCCGGGGGGGAGAGGTGCCCGGGGCGGGAGGTGCCTGGGGGGGGGGGGGGGGAGGTCCCCGGGGGGGGGAGGTCCCCGGGGGGGGGGGAGGTCCCCGGGGGGGGGGGGGAGGTGCCCGGGGGGGGGGTCCCCGGGGGGGGGAGGTGCCCGGGGGGGGGGTCCCCGGGGGGGGGGGAGGTGCCCGGGGGGGGGGGGGGAGGTGCCCGGGGGGGGGGGGCCCCGGGGGGGGAGGTGCCCGGGGGGGGGGGGTCCCCGGGGGGGGGGGGAGGTGCCCGGGAGTGTGGAGTCCTGTAGCTCAGTGGTTAGAGCACTCGCTTTGCAAGCGAGAGACCTGAGTTCAATTCCAGGCAGAGGGCAAAACCTTGGGCAAGTTTCCTTACTCCTCACAGAGCCTAATAATAATCCCTCCAAAACCAACAACAATAATAAATTGGTCATTTTCAATCTACGACTGTTTGTGGGACATTGCTGTGCGCAATTGGCCGCCGCGTTCGCCCTCAAATATACAGTCAATTCACTTTACAGTGTATTCTGTGAAGCGCTTTGGGACGTCCTCCCGACGTGAAAAGCGCTATATCAAATGCGAGGATTATTATTATTATTATAACAGGGCCCCTGGCCGGGCAGAGCCGCCCCCGCGCTACTACGGGGCCGGAGCGGAGCCGCGGGGCCTGACCTGCTGCCCGGCGCCCAGTCTGTGCAGGAACTGATCCTCGCCGCCGAACACCAGCTGCTCCAGGCAGTGCTCCGCGGCCGACATCTCCCCCAGCGCCTGGCGCTCAGCTCCCGCCATCTTCAGTCTGACCCCATCCACTTCCGGGTCACAGGGCGGCTGGGGGGGAAGCGGAAGCTGGACTGGACCACTCTGCGGGCAGGGAGGGAGGAGGCGGCGGGGTGTGTGGTTGGGTGGGACGGGGTTACCGCGTGGGGTGGGCGGGGATGGTGATGAGGATGGGAACCGAAGCTGGAGGCAAACAGTGAAGCGAAGCCGGGAGTTGGGGGTCGCGGTCTCTGTGTGGCCGGGAGCTGCTCCCCCCCCCCCCCCGGGCGGGAATGGGCAGCGCCACCACGCGCTTATAAACGCAGCTCGGAAACCGCCGGCCTCTCGCCGGCCGGAAACTGCAGGTGAGCGGAGCTGCTGCGGCGCTCTCTCTGCCCTTCACTCCCAAACCCACTCACATTCCCGCAGTTCGTGTAACTTGTTTACTTGTAAAACAGCCCAAGGAATGTTTACACAGCGAGTTGTTGGGATCTGGAATCATTGCCTGAAAGGACAGAGGAATCCGATTCCATAACAACTTTCAAGAGAGTAGATCACTATTTGGGGAGGACAAGTTTGCAGGGCTATGGGGAGAGAGAGCGGGGGAGTGGGGTTGATCAGGGCTATGGGGAGAGAGCGGGGGAGTGGGGTTGATCAGGGCTATGGGAGAGAGCGGGGGAGTGGGGTTGATCAGGGCTATGGGGAGAGAGTGGGGGAGTGGGGCTGATCAGGGCTATGGGGAGAGAGCGGGGGAGTGGGGTTGATCAGGGCTATGGGTGAGAGAGCGGGGGAGTGGGGTTGATCAGGGCTATGGGGAGAGAGCGGGGGAGTGGGGTTGATCAGGGCTATGGGGAGAGAGCGGGGGAGTGGGGTTGATCAGGGCTATGGGGAGAGAGCGGGGGAGTGGGGTTGATCAGGGCTATGGGGAGAGAGCGGGGGAGTGGGGTTGATCAGGGCTATGGGGAGAGTGGGGGTGTGAGGTTGATTTGGAATCTCTTCAAAAAGCCGGCACAGACACGATGGGCCGAATGGCCTCCTTCTGTGCTGTATAATTTGATGTTTCACCCACAAAACATAGTCACTACACTTCACAGTGTAGCCTGTGAAGAACTTTGAGATGTCTGGATAACGTGATAAGACGCTGTGTCAAATGCAAGGATTATTATTATCGTAAAATTCTGGCGCCAGCTGATGAGTTGCAGGAAGGGATCCGCTGAGGTTGCAGTTGGTCACCATATGGTCCATCTGCTTCCTGCGCCGAGTGAACACACTGCCTCCAGGTGGCCCTGGGTGTGAGATGTGCAAGAGGGGAGGATATGGTGACATATTTTGCTAAAAGTTGCCTCTTGTGCAGTTGATGTAATTTTCTGTGTTAATGCTGTTGTACGTAGGATCGAGCCCAACACCATGGCAGAAAACAAGGAAAGAACTTTCATCGCTATTAAGCCAGATGGTGTCCAGAGGGGGCTTGTTGGGGAGATTATCAAACGCTTTGAACAAAAGGGATTTAAACTCGTCGCAATGAAGTTTCTTAAAGTAAGTGACAATGATGTGCAAAGAAAATATGTAAAGATTTTGGGGACTGAATTAAATGAATATTATGTCTATTTGCTGGCAGCCTATGTTTGAGCAAGAGTGTATCCAGTGAAGAGCATGCTTATCCTATTTACACCCCAGGGAACTGCAATTACACACGTGTGTGATTATGTAACTTCACGCATAATATATTTCACTGTACGACAGTAATAATATAACTGAACTACCTGATCCCTCCGGCTCTTTTCCTATTGCTTTGCGTGCTTCCTGCGGAGGCCGTATAGAGAGTAACGGGAAGGGAGTGGGAGGAATGAATCAGTGCAGACTGGAAGAGAGTGACTCAAGAATAAATAGAAAAATGTGCTACATTTCTATACATAAATACTAAATTTATGAAACCTGGGCTTTGTCTAATAGGCTCCAATAGTGTTATCCTGTATTTAAATTGCAAAAAAAGTAATTTTGTATAGTTTTGTTTCTGTGCCTAATTCCCTGGGGTGATCCAGTCCTGGTAACTGAGTGAGAAAGCACTCTTATTCGATCAAAAGGTTATTTACACGAGCTCAAATGCTTTAGAACCACAATCGGCTTATTGGTGGAGTTTAGCCTGGCTGCGGGGAGAGTTCTAGCTTTCCAGGAACAGCAACTGGTACTTTGTGTTGAGCAGCTACTTGCAGATTACAGAATAATCCGTGTATTCTTGTCTGAGGCTTCTTGTAGAGCTTAATTTGAAATGAAGATTTTGAAATCTTAAAAGTAAGGTAGCATATGTCATCTTGCTGGAAACTGGGTGGATAATAACAATAATAATAATAATCCTTGCATTTGATATAGCGCTTTTCACGTCGGGAGGACGTCCCAAAGCGCTTCACAGAATATACTTTAAAGTGAGTTGACTGTATATTTTGTGGGCGAACGCGGCAGCCAATTGCACACAGCAATGTCCCACAAACAGTCGTGGATTGAAAATGACCAATTTATTATTGTTTTTGGTTTTGGAGGGATTATTATTAGGCTCTGTGTGGAGTAAGGAAACTTGCCCGAGGTTTCGCCCTCTGCCTGGAATTGAACTCAGGTCTCTCCCTTGCAAAGCGAGTGCTCTAACCACTGAGCTACAGGACTCCACAGGATAGTCTTGACCTACTGGCTCCTCCTGTAACAGCTTTTCTCCAGTGCATACTACTACTTTATATCTATGTCTTAGTTGCAATATGTAGACACATTTGGCAGCTAATCTTAATAAGCAATGTCTGGCTACAGCAGTGAGGGCAGTGGCCAATGATGGCTGAAATATGGATGAGCAAGTACAGAGTAGATGTAAACAGCCCAAGGAATGAGAGTGCAACGAATGGGAGTGAATCCCATTTTTTTTTCCCTGGATGGTAGCTGGTGTCCCTGCTGTTGCTGCTCTGTTGGTAATCAGTTGTACAGAAGTGGTTGCTGCAATGAATAGAAGGAAGGTCTGTCACTCACCCACACAAGCTCAGCTGGGAGCTGTACATGCAGTTTGCAGAGTCATCCTGATGCTTTCATCTGTTGAGCTTCCTTTTTGGTCTTATTTGGTAACTAAATCTGAACTGATCTGTGTTTTATGCGCTGCCCACATTGATTAATAGGTTACAGACTAGGGTGAAACAGGAAATTGACAGCTTTACGTCTGTTGTCTGATGCCTGTCATGCTTATGAAGTAAGGATCTTGGTGGTGTGAAATGGGTGTGTTGATATCCAATGCTCCCAGGTGCACCACAGGTGAGAAACTTCCAGACAATATAGTATAAAATAAAACTGTTTCTGTTTGATCAAGTAGGGTTTGAAATTCTCCCAATGATGAACCTGAGTTACTTTAAAGGCTGATCTATAACCTTTTTCCCCAGGCTTCAGAACAGTTGCTGAAAGAACATTACATCAGTCTGAAGGAGAGGCCATTCTACAATGGTCTGGTTAAGTACATGAGCTCAGGCCCTCTTGTTGCAATGGTAAGTGAGGTATTGAATGCTGGGAGGGGGAGAGGAAATGAGGTGTTGAATGCTAGGGCTGGGGTGAGAAACAGGCAGTTGATGTTTGGAGCAGCTTATACTTGGATTCCAGATGTGTTCAAAGCTTTGCATCTGGAGTGCCTTTGGATGATATTGTTGAGGGGGATTATTTTGTTCTGGTGGAATGTATTACTATAATGTAATGTGTTCTCCCATCACAGGTTTGGGAGGGCCTTGATGCAGTGAAGACTGGCCGAGTTATGCTGGGAGAAACCAACCCTGCGGACTCTAAGCCTGGTACTATTCGTGGAGACTATTGTATTCAGGTTGGCAGGTGAGTTCCATTCTGAACTGTGTATGTGTTACACAAAGTCTTAGCTATTAGTACGTAGGTGCTGATTGGATACAGGTATGTGGAGTAGATTGAGGAAAGATTGAGAACCTAACCAAGGCTGGTCTTGATTGGAAGGATGTCAGAGAGGTGGCACTCAGAATAGCAGGATGGGGCAGTGTAGATAGCTTTACCCTATCAAATCTGTTCAGTGCTTCGCATAAGAGTGCTGGTTCCTCCTTAGGTACATAATAGCATTTTGCAGACTGTCCTGAGTAGAATGTTAAAGTGCAGCAGAGGATCTTGTGGAATGAACAGCAGGGGAGTATAGATAATGTATAACTGAAATCTGATTTTGTTGCAGGAACATAATCCATGGCAGTGACTCTGTGCAAAGTGCACAGACTGAGATTAACCTTTGGTTCAAGCCTGGGGAGGTGGTGAATTACCAGCAGTGTGCTCAGCCCTGGATTTATGAGTGAATGTGCAGAGCTTCCTCCACTTGTCCTAATCATTCATGTTGACTGTCTATACATTCATTTATCATGTAAACATTCCAAACTAGGCCAATTGCCATTAAATAAAAGCATGTTTTCTTCCAGTACATTGTGTGGTGGGCAGGGACACAGACACAGGCACTCACTGCACTTGGTAAAGTGGGAGTAAAACAGTTACTTGGATTCTTAATTAAAACCACATTGCTGGGATTGTGGGTGTGGATGTCGACGGGCAAAACTGCTGGTATGGAGCAATAGTAACAGTGAGCTGCTGCTCAGTCATGCCATTATACGAGCAATGCCTCTCAGAAGCTGAGCTTAGTCTGCTGCAGCAGCCTCGAGCCGGGCTTCACACTTGGTTGAGGCCGCACGTGCACAAACATACCAGATACAACTCTTACACGGATCAAGTTATATTAAGCAGTTGCTCAGATGAAATGTCAGATGCATAAGCCATTTGCAGCCCTGGATGGAAAGGGTTTGTATTAATTAACATCGTCAAAGCCCAGTAGATCACCACAATTCACAGGTTTCTGGATTTTCCAAATTTAGGGAGGGTTAAAAAGGCAATAAAAGAATAACTTAGAACTGATATAGTTTTTCGGCAAAGGCTAGACCGGCTCAAATATATGTACAGAAATGTGAGGGGTTAAGACCAGAGCCGGCACCTTACAATTAGTCCTTAGTCTTAAGGACTTTATTGGAAGAATCAATGCAAGGCTACAATTGGAAAATTTACACCGAGTCAGGCACTGAGCAAACGCACAAATTCACTGGATAAATGGGGAACTAAAGGGGCTATAGGCCCTGACTTGCACCATTACCTCACCCCTCAGGCCTCTGAAAGTCTTGTTCATGCCATCATCACCTACAGGCTCGACTATTTAAATGCCCTGCTTGTCAGCCTTCCCAACTCCTCCCTCCACAGGCTGCAGATAATCCAGAACTCTGCAGCCTGTGTCCTCTCCTGCACCAAACTCCGTGATCCCATCTCTCCCATTCTCACCCTACTCCTTCAGAGGATCCAGTTCAAGAACCTGGTCCTCACATACAAAGCCCTCCATGGCCTCCTAACCACCCGCCCGCTCCCTCCGCTCAGCCGGCTCTAGCCTGTTCCACATCCCCCAACCCACCCGCCCCCACCATTGACGTGAGAGCCTTCAGCCACTCTGCCCCCAAGTCTCTGGAATTCCATTCGCCATTCACTCCGCCTTGCCCCCTCCTTAGCCTCCTTCAAGTCCCGCCTCAAGACCCTCCTCTTCAACCATGCCTTCAGCCAGCCCCCTTCCCCTCCAACCCCCCCACTCCGACCCCAACTCTGAAATGCTGTACTCTGTCCAGCGCCTTGGGACGTCCTCCCGCCGTGAAAGACACGATACAAATGTAATCTTGTTGCATCTGACTAGCAACTGAGCATCTCTGGGATCACAACCGCTATTAGAAGAAAGTTACCTGACAGTTTTTCAGCAAGTGATCATTGCTAAGGCTCTGGATTTCTATAAACGAGAATTGGACTGCACAGCTCACTGCATCTCTGCCCATGAGTGACGGGTATTCAAATGAAGGACCATGCCCTAAAAATAAAAACAAAGGTATTGGTTAGTATCAGGAGGGCATAGAGGAAAGATGAAAGCCTCCCTCTGCACACTTGTTAGGCCCTCTGGTGAGCACATCACAATACAGACCTATTTGCCATTACTGATGGCATAAACCACCTGAGGGTATACAAAAATCCAAGTTTGTTGGGACATGGCCTGGAAAATATAGCGTCAAAATACACAAGATACCCATGAACAGATTCCATCCATTTAAAATGTTTTATTCAGTGTAAAAAAAGACCATTTAGTGAACGATTTTTTTGTACACAAAGTTATGACTGTAATGCTCTTAATGTTTACAGTGAAGTATTTTTTCTGAAAAAGGAAAAGGTTTTGAATTGGATTTACACAGGCTGCAAGAAGGTAACACCTTCCCAACAGCTATACAACTTGTCACATCAAATAAAAGGAAAGATTACATTTGTACAGTAAATGATCGATTATCAAAATACGTACAGAAAACAATGTATAAATCCCATAAGCTACAACATTGCCTGTGGCTGCCTAGCATTCAGAAAGAACAAAGAGGATCTCTGGAAACAAACCATTACTTTTTTTTCCTTTTATGTTTTATCAAAATCCAAGCAAGTATATAACAGGAAGAGAACTGAAGATAAATTTCCTGAATCAATCACAGTTTCTGAAAATCCCTCCCCTTCTGTAAGAAAGGACGATCAGTATCAAAAGATTTTGTAGCACCAAAATACAAAGACTAGAGGGTGAGCTCACATCATAAAAAATCAGAGTTGCCACCCAAGTTAGTTTGCTGTACAGGACTGAAAGTGTGTGTGGAGAGTTTCTTCATTGGGGTCATGTGCAGCTTCAAAACCACTTGCATTTCCGTGTAAAGAAAGGACAGGTACCTCGGAAACAATGAGGCTGCAGTTCATTTTGGGAGCACAGGGATTTACACAACTCACCCCACAAGGAACATAGCTCCCCGTTGATGGACTGCATCTTTCATATTCACCAGCACTCGTTGTATAATACATGCCAACAATTCACGTTCACAAAGAGAAGTAAAACTATGTACTGCCGTTCTGCCCAGGGAGCAAGTGGAGGGAGGAGCATTCCCAACTGATTGTAAGGCCCAGGAATCAAGACGGTCATAGGGGCCAGATTTTGAAATGTGATGGTTTAAATTAGTTAACATGATTTATTATGACTCTTGAACCCAAAATGGGCTCAGCCAATGATCAGATAAATGTAACCAAATGGCTGTTCCTGCCCGTGAAAAAGCACAGCAGCCAGAAAACCCAGGAAAAAAATAAATCACTTAATAAAAGTATATTGCAACTGAATTAACCCACAAATTGGTAAAGTTGCCTTTTAACTCGTCACCCCAAAGCAAAATAACCAATTTGTAAAAAGCTAGTTTCCAATATTATGTATTGCTAAAACTTCAGAGATATATATCTTCTCCATTTGTTACCATCAAATCAGTGAGATTGACAGAAGGGGCAAGTCAGAGCCTAGCGAGTCCTGATCAGTAATACCACACAACTACACACTCCAAAATAACCAAAACATACTTTGTGTGCAGAACAGATCCCAGACTTCAGTGACAGGCTGCAATCTTAATTGTGGGTTCAAAAGGCATCAGAATAAAGTAGTACTTATTAGTGTCACTCAACCCTGGATTAAATCCCAGCACTCTTGCCTCCATTCAAATATCATGACGTATAGACTGGAAGAGTCAGGAACAGTTGCAATTGAAAAGCTTTCCTGAACTACATTAGGATTTCAGTCAGCAGAAAGGCTTTAAAATTAGAATTTTCAAAATTAAAAGCAGCTGTAAAGTCTAGGAATAGACGATAGACTGGCTTAGAAGCTGTCTCTGAGACAGAAGTCAGCGGCAAGTCTCAGTGCATCACTCACACACTGTGGACTACAGCCACTTCAATACATAGTGTATCAGCTCTCCAGAGGCCCAAGTGGATCAAGGAGCAGGTAAGTATGGTAGGAAGTTAGAAAGCCAGTGTAGGTCTGGCAGCTCGTTGCATCCAGGCAGCGTACAAAGATAAATTTAAGTACTCCAAAGTACTGTGCCAAATCAAGCTCCTGCACACCACTTCTAGTACAAAGTGGAGACACCCTCAGCAAACGTGGTTGGTCACTTCTGAATTGTGGGAAAAGACATCACGAGTGATGACCACCTGACACTCGTACAATCCTCGCAGCCAGATGATTGTACAGAAGCCCTGGCTACTCACGGCAGCAGTTCATTCTCAAGCCAGGGAGAAAATAAATACTGGTTTAAAAGAAAACTTTTATATTATAATAATCGTTGCACTTGATATAGCACCTTATCATGTCTTCCAAGACATCTCAAAGCGCTTCACAGAATATTATAAGTGAATTGACTGTATATTTTGTGGGCGAAATGCAGCAGCCAAATGAGCACAGCAGTTTCCCACAAAGTCGTAGATTGAGTGACCAATTTATTATTTTTTGGAAGGAATTATTACCCCCGGAAAACTAATCCACCAATCAACTAACAACCAGGTTCCAGCTTACTGCTAGGTAAACAGGGGCGTGTGGAGTAAGGAAACTTGCCCAACGTTTCGCCCTGCCGGGAATCAAACTCAGATCTCTCACTTGCGAGGTGAGTGATCTAACCACTGAGCTACAGGTCTCCATATTTACACAAAATGTTCACATAAGATCCTCTGAAAAGCCAGTACTTACCTCCCTCAAATGCCTGTGTTAGAATTAAGAAGGAACATTCAAAGCATATCAGCACGACAATGAAGAGGGATAGGGGCTCAATGTAGTCTCCCCACATGCACACACACAGACCCCAATGGAAACTCACGTGGGTCTCAGGGAAAAAAAAGAGAAACTTTTGTTTAAAAACAAAGTGTTGATGACATGTAAAGACTTTGTTCTTGGGGGCCGCAGTGCTGCTCTGTGACATGAAGAAACACAAATAAAACTGGCTCAGAGGATGAGAGAAAGGCTGCGGCCCACAAGTACTGTTGAAATGCAAGCATCAACTTCCTGAGTATTCAAATGCATCAGTTGACCAATTGCGTAAATTTTTTTTCATTTTGAATTTATACCAAAAAGAATGCTTTCAATCTTTAAGTAAATAATTTAAAAAGTTATTGTGTATGATGTTTACTTAGGCTGGAGGAGGGAAAGTTAACATAACTTCACCCAAATGTGTAGTCACAGAATGCTCATCGTGAGCACATCACCAAAACATGTTGAACATTGAACATTCCTCCCTCACCCCTCCCTACTCAAAAAATTCAAGTATAATATACAAGATAGTCCAATGTGGGGCCTGAAAAACAGCTCCTTTTCACCCCCTAAAATAAACAACTTGTCCAAATGTACAGTAAAAATCACTGAACTGCCTCTCCATTGCTCTTGGCAAGACTGCAGCAGTGAAGTACCACTGTGTCAGAGACTCAGCAGATTAAAGGAGACGATCCTTCGATCAAGGATCCCTGCTTGATACAAGCCTGGTGGCAGAGTCCTTAAGGTCGTGTGTGATGGCTTAGCTGCCAGATCCCTTGCTCTCCTGATTAGAAGCACCTTGAAGGAAGTGGAACTCATCAACATCCACAAAATTCTCCTTGTGCTGCAATGCTGACCCTGAAAGAATGGAGAGAAAGGCTACCATTACAAGAGAAGCAAAACCCATTTACGACTGAAGCCCAACACCTATCATCATATAATAATCCTTAATGCATTGTCAAAATGTCACATCCGTGCCATGACACATTCTGCCTTCCCCCATCTGCGCAACTTTACCCACTTTTGCCATTCCGTCTCCCATCAGGCTGACGAGACTCATTCACACATCCATCCCATCCAACAACAGGAGGCTCAACTACACTAACTCCCTGCTTGCCCGGCTTCCCCCCACAAGATGCAGATTATTCAGAACTCCACAGCTCACATCCTCTCCTAAACCAAGTTCCATAACCTGATCACCCCCATCCTTGCCCCGCTCAATTGGCTCCCCATCCCTCATAGGATCAAGTTTAAAATCCTCATCCTCACCCTTTAATGACCTTGCTCCTCCCTACCTATGTGATCGATTGGCTGCCGTGATTCACCCACAAAATATACAGTCACTATACTTCATCTAATAACAAAAAAATTAAAAATTTGGTCACTCAATCCACAACTGTTTGTGGGACATTGCTGTGTGCAATTGGCTGCCGTGTTTCATCCACAAAATATAGTCAATTCACTTTACGGTATATTTTGTGACGTCTCGAAGATGTGATAAGGGCACTGTATCAAATGCAAGGATTATTATTATTATTATGAACACCATACCAACCTGTCTGCTTCCTTCACTCAGCAGGCACTGGCCTACTTTATGTCCTGCACCTTGACCGCCATTGGTAGTCAGGCTCTGCCCCCACCCACTAGAACTCCATCTGCCTCATCCCTTCCCTTGCATCCTTCAAGGCCCATCTCAAGACGTTCCTCTTTGATTGTGCTTTTGGCCACTCTCAAACCGCCTCTACCTTCCGACCCTTTTCTTGACTCTAACCCGCAGCTTGGGTGCAAATCCTTAGCCGTTCAGCGCCTTGGGACATTCTTCTGACATGAAAGGCTCTATATCAATGTAATTTCATTGTTGCGATTCCCTTTCTCAGAATCATCTCCAGTGATCAGAGTAGGATTGTCCAGAAGGGGGTAGTTCTGTGCAGTTATACAAACCCACCTGCAGATGGCATTCTCCTACAATTTGTTATTTTTCCACTCGAAAAAGTCTCCAACACAATGCACCATTTCCCTGCTGGAAAGTGTACCTGCCTCCAGGAGAGGTGCCCAACAGAGTGCAGCCTCACACATCTATACCTCACACTCTCCCTGTAAAAGCTGAAAATAGAAATCAACCCATCCTTACGGCACAGCCCAAAACAAGAGCCCACCACTAGGAAAATAATGTAAGAGAGCTCACAATCTGTAGCAGACCATATGGAGCAGGAAGCTGCCAGATAGTCACTGTTAGTATTGACACAGTAAAGCACTTACCTGGTGGTTGGCAGTAACTGCAGTAGAGGATCACTGAAAGCCCTTTGTCACCAGATGATGATGTCCCGGTGCTTACTACTGCTGGCTGAAATACAGAGAAAGTAGAAACATTAACACAGGAAATTTCTAACAATACCTGGCAGCTAGTGATCATGGTCATTGTAAAGAAATCTGTTAAAACATGAAAATTCAAAAAACTAGGGTGCCAGGAAGACAGGGCGACAGTGAGTCAGTCGCTGAGCACGGCAAAGCAGGGTTAGGGAAAGAACAAATCAAACGATGCAGCATGGTGCAGTGTGCTTCAGCACCCAGTAATGTGGAGCAGCCACATGCAGCTTTTCTCTCCCACTCCCCTCTCTGACCTAAAGCGGAAAGTTGCATGAATCAACCAGCCATTCTTGTGTTTAGGGCTGCATCTGAAGCAGCACAAGCAGAGACTCTCGGAGGAAACACCACCAGATCCTCAATCACGCAATGTTTTAGAATAAGTACATTTTAAAACAAACGTAAAATCCTCTCTCAACAATCCAGGGGGAGAAAAGTGACTTCAAGCGTCTCTACCAGTAGCACATACTGTGACAGTCATTATCAATGGATAGCTGGATGCAGTGCTCGCCCCTTAAAATATAGAGCTTTAAAATCATACTCCATGGTATTCAGCATATAAATACTTGCTTTCGGCACTTGGCCTAAATTACAGGTGAATGCGGGAAAGAGAGAGGAAGAGTTTTGAACAATTCACACTCTGAAATAACTTACTGTAACTTTTTGCATACAACAGGCACCACTTTATACTAGACACAAGCCTGACCCAAAGAGCACATTATATGCAAAGACTTACACTGGAAAGGGTTGCAGTAAATTTTTACCGTCTTGCAGCTTTGATTTTGAACCAGAAATGAGATGAACTGTGCAACACACACACCAGCTTTCTTTCTTAGCCAATAGATTACCTGCTTTGAGACTAGGATTGAACTCTCTGCTAGTGCTGGGAGGCGTGATGGCCTCGGGAGCTGTCTGGATTGGAAGAGTTCGATATGGAGGAGTCAACTCATCATCGCCAGAGAAACTCCTCCGCACCCTGCCACTCATGGGCAGGCTCGACACACTGACAAGCTTCTTCCCAACTGGCTTCTTCCTTTCTAAACAGCAGGTCAAACTTAGTTAAGCTCATCAAAATGTCTGTGCTAATTTACTCTCAATCTTGTTAAACCACATGCAAGTCACAAAGCAAGCTTGAATACCTGACCTAGCAATAGATCTTGTGTTTGAGCTGCTTGTGATGGAGGTTCCAAGTCAATGTTTTCTCTATGTCCCAGCTGGTGGTTGTTCCCCTAGTTTCAGGGGACAAATACACACGTGCAATCTCTGCATCCTTAACCACACACAGCAGTGACTAAGTTACTAGAATTAAAAGTTCCAACCCATTAAATACGGAAGGCAGAATACTGTGGCCATGCGCCAGATAGTGTCCTGGTGAACTGGACATCCCCTATCAATCGCCACACCCAGGTGCAGACACTTGGGTCCACCTCACTTGACCTGCAATTTCAAACACTGACTTGAGGAATGTGGGACTTATCCTCAAAATGATATTAATGGTATGGAAACAAACTGCTTGCTGTGCTGTGTCAATACTCCAATGAGGAACAACATGGGTCAAATGTTGATTCTACATTGTCACATCCAGGCTCAAGTATAGTCTAGGTTAGATATAGGATAAAGTTCCCTCTATACTGCCCCATTCAGCAGTTCCAGGTCAGGTATTTATATTCAGAGGAAAGCACTCTCTATTGTATGCCATACTCCAGGAATACACCTCCAGGAATACAATACAAAATTACATTTGTGAAGCGCCTTTCACGTCGGGAGGACATCCCAAGGCGCTGGACAGTCAGGGATTTGGAAATTCAAAACCCCCACACTAGCGTACTTTGAGTGACAATTTCTAATAATCCAGAACTATCAAATTTTGTGTTATAAACTCATGCAATTGGACATTAAGCTGTGATTGTCTCAAATATTTAATCCCTAAGGAGGATCCCACTGGAAGAAAAGGTGAGGGAGAGAATGCAGGAAGAGGGATTGAAATACAGACATACCACAGATACCATCTTAACTCTCTCACATGTGAGAAATGATCAAAAATGTGAAGCTTGTCTCAAGTAGGCAAGGCAGTAAATTCTAGCATGTATTTAGGACAGTTTTCTGGAACAATATATTTTAGAACCGACAAGAGAATATGATTTGCTGATGAGTAACGAACCTAAACTAGGTAACAATCTGATGGTGAGGGAACATCATCTTGCAAATAGTGACCATAATATGATTGAATTTGATATAAGTTTTGAGAGGGAGGAGAGTTGGAAACCAAGATTTTAAATTTAAGCGAGGCAAACTTCGAAGGGATGAGAAATAAATTAACTAGTAAACTGGGCTGAACTAATAATGGGTAAACCCACCGACATATAGTGGGAAGTATTCAAAAAGGAATTTGGAACAATACAAAACCAGTACATACCCCTAAACACAATAGCTCCACTTGTGTAGTTCAACAACCACGCTCGACAAATGAGGTAAGAGGCAGCAATAAACTAAAAGAAAAGGCTAACACTAATGGAAGAAAAAGTGGAAATCCAGCATACTGGAAGACTTATAAAAAACAAGAAAGTAATAAGAGGTGCAAAAGGGGAATATGAGAAAAAAAAAGTTGCAAGGGATATCAAGGGCAACAATAAAAGTGTTTATAAATATATTAAAAGAGAATGGTAAAGTGGAATGTGGGCCCATTAAAGACTGATGTAGGTGAGACTATAATGGGACAATAAATGGCAGGTTTGTGGAATGAATACTTTGCTTCTGTTTTCACAGTAAAGAAGACAAAATACCAGTGGTATGAGGGAACCTAAAAATAAGCCAAAGAGAAGAACTAAATGGATTCAAAATACATTTTAGAAATGGTAATAGAGAAAATAATGGGATTAAAGATAGACAAATCTCCAGGACCTGGTAGATTCCACCCCAGGGTATTAACAGAAGTAGGGGAGGAAATTCCAGATGTGTTAATCATAATTTTCCAAAACTCTACATTCAGGAATTGTGCCCTTGGATTGGAGAATTGCAAATGTCACTCCATTATTTAAGTGAGGGAGTGAGGAACCAGGTAACAGCAGACCTGTCAGCTTCACTTCAGCTGTGGGGACGTTACTGGAATCTCTCATCAGGGACAGAGTGACTGAGCACTTGGACAAGTATGAGCTAATCAAAGAGTCAGCGTGGATTTGTGAGGGTAGGTCATGTCTGACGAATCTGATTGAATTTTTTGAGGAGGTCACTAACATGGTGATTAGAGAGTGTCTATGGATATTGTCTACATGGACTTTCAGAAGGATGTGACAAGTGATGTTCTCCAGCGGTCTATACTGGGGCCTCAGCTTTTCACCATATACATATATTAATGACTTGGATGAAGGAATAGAGTTTTATATCAAAATTGACAGATGACACAAAGTTAGGAGGTACAGTAAATTGTGCAGATGGGAGCAGGAAGTTAAAAAGGGACTTAGATTAAATGAGTGGGCAAAACTGTGACAAATGGAATTCAATGTGGGGAAGTGTGAAGGCATCCATTCGGATCTGAAAGTAGCAAAACAGAATATTTTCTAAATGGGGAGAAACTAAAAACTGTGGAGGAGCAAAGGGATTTGGATGTCATAATTCACTAAAAACAAGCTCACAGGTACAAAAAATTATCAAGAAGGCTAATGGGATGTTGGCTTTTATCTCAAGGGGCTGGAATATAAAAGGAAATGATGCTTCAACTATACAGAGCCTTGGTCAGACCCCATCTGGAGACTGCGTTCAGTTTTGGGCACCGCACCTCAGGAAGGATATATTGGCTCTGGAGGGGGTGCAGCGCAGATTCACCAGAATGATACCAGGGCTAAAAGGGTTAAATTACGAGGACAGGTTGCATAAACTTGGTCCCTATTCCGTTGAGTTTAGAAGGTTGAGGGGTGATCTGATTGAAATTTTTAAAATAATAAAGGGTTTCGATAGGGTAGCTACAGAGAAACTATTTCCTGAGTGGGGGAATCCAGAACAAGGGGCCAACATCTTAAAATGAGAGCTAGGAAATTAGGAAGCAGTTTTTCACCCAAAGTGTAGAGGAAATCTGGAACTCCCTCCCTCCCCCAAAAGGCTGTGGACGCTGGATTTATTCATATTATCAAGACTGAGGTGGACAGATACTTGTTAGGTCAGGTTATTAAAGGATACAGGGCAAGGGCAGGTAATTGGACTTGAAGTACAAATCAGCCATGATCTAATAGAATGGCAGAAAAGGGCTAGAGGGGTTGAATGGCCTCCTCCTGTTTCTATGTTTATCATGTCCTTCTGCTAAGAGGACAATTCTGAGAAGTACTTTTTTTTTCTTCATTCCTGGCCAAGAGGTCACACACATCAGTCCAGCGAGAGTTCCTTCAGACTCTCCTTCCCTCCCTCTGCAGTTCTGGACTCTTCTCAACCCATTTCCCAAATAGCAATACCAAGGTTAGAGATTTCTTGTGAGTAGGATCACACATTGGTGCTTCGCTTCACCTCTCAAATTCAGACACTTCATATTGTATTTGTAAAAGCTGTGTCAGGTCTTGTCCACCATATGGTACAAATTATCGTTTCTCTTTGGTTTCAGGCAGTGAACAATAGAGATGGGACCATATTCCACTGGGTTCACTCATGATTATGCCTAAAAACATCCTCCTAGGTAAAGGTCTCCCATTGATGCCAAGGAGACACACAAAGAAAAGCCATAACCCAAGGTATCTTGTCAGACTCATTAACAAGACTTCCTCAAACCTGTGAACCAAAGCCCCAATATTTGAAGATTTGGTAACATCAGGACGTCCTTCTCTTTGATCAAATTAGTGTCAGACAAAAGTTATGTTCATTTGAATCCTTAAAGTATATCTGGTTATGCAAGGTGGTCTTCTACACAGAAGGAGGAGGAAATAGAGTTTGAGTTGACTTATTGTTTATTTAAAATCTCCATATCAAAATATTATGGAACAAACATAATAAATTGCTGAAGGAAACAAAAGGCAAAGTACTGCAGTTGCTGGAAATCTGGTATAAACACAGAAGTTCCTGGGAACAAGCAGCAGGTCAGGTAGCATCCATGGAGATCCATAGACCTGAAACATTAACTAATTTGCCTCTCTCCATGGATGATGCCTGACCTGCTGAGTGTTCCTAGCAACTTCTGTGTTTATAATAAATTGATGTGTGGTCCTGGAGGAGTTCAGGGCATGCAATGCTCAAATGGCTAACTTGGCAGCCTCTGAAATGAAACAGTCAGCTGAAACATTAAGTGAAGAGAAAAAAAGAGTTCAGCAAAACCTTGTGACCTACTTTTTTTGTGTCCCTTGTACTGACTGGACTTTGCCTTTTTCTTCTTCATCACATTGGTTTGATTCTCCCTCGAGGCTGTGGATGAAAGGGAAAGCACTATAAAGAGAGGCATTGGTTAGTTTGTTTTTGGCAGAAATGAGATACATATTCACAGCTCTTCGTGTTAGCTTCCTCACAAATATCAGAGAGCAACCAGCACTATAAGATAGATTCTGAAACAGCTATCCAATTATGGGAAACAGAAATACAAAATAACTCATTGATGAAACAATTTTTCTGCATTTTTAAGACTCTACATAGTGTGGCAGCTAAATAATTGATCAAAAATATTGAATTTGATGCAAAATCTAGTACTATTTATGATTGTGGAGTCCTGTAGCTCAGTGGTTAGAGCACTCGCTTTGCAAGTGAGAGACCTGAGTTCAATTCCAGGCAGAGGGCGAAACCTTGGGCAAGTTTCCTTACTCCACACAGAGCCTAATAATAAACCCTCTAAAAACCAAAAACAATAATAAAAATTGGTCATTTTCAATCTGCGACTGTTTGTGGGACATTGCTGTGCGCAATTGGCTGCCGCGTTCGCCCACAAATATACAGTCAATTCACTTTACAGTGTGTTCTGTGAAGCGCTTTGGGACGTCCTCCCGACGTGAAAAGCGCTATATCAAATGCAAGGATTATTATTATTATTATCCACGATTTATTGCTTATTACTTTGTAGGATAAGCCCAGTGGTTACATAGAAGGGATAGCAAAAGGGTAAAACAAGGTAAGAAGGTTACAAGGTTATAAATACCAAAGTTTAAGATATAATTTGTAACTTATACTAAGCTGCACTTTTCATCCAAATAAAAATATTTAGCCAAGCATTCCAATTAAGCAAACGCACAATACACGCAGGTTGAATTGACCTGGGAAATTATCCTTGGCAACAGTGCTATTAGCTACTGCTTTATCGCCTCACCATGGGGCTTCCCTGCTCCCAGCCTCGGTTCACAGCTCAGGAACAACATTTAGATACAAAAAAACAAGGCCTTCAGTTTATGGGAAAAGAAAGAAAATAATGGGCAAAACAGAAATCTAAAGCAGGCTGGGCTCACTGTGAGAGTACTCACACTGTGATGCTGGGGGCTGAAGCTGGTAACCAGTCAATTCACACCATCCAATAGGGTACAGGTCAGAAGATTCACAGTCAACCCACTGATCATATTCATCCTCCCAACCATCAAAGTGGATCCTCAGGAGACGATGGACAATGCGGGTGACAGTTGCCACACAAACCAGACGTGGCTCCATCAGATCCACTGCTTCCAGTTTCATTCCAATGCGAAATCCGTGATTTGGAACTTCCTGTATGGGAGAGGTTGTTAAAAATTTCTCTATTTCTCTATTTTCCATCAAGCTTTCCCCACCTGATGTTTTCTCCTAAAGCAGCAATTTATTTGGGATTTTGGCTACACGTATGCAAAATAAATCTCACTTGAATTTAGAATACAACTAGTAGAAAAGTGATTCATCCTATCAGACTGTACTGAAACTCCAAGTCCCCAGTGATGATCAACACACTGCACCAGTCACTCTCCCTAAAGGCTGTACAATAGAGAACCCAATATCTACACGAACTGAACATGAAAACAGTGAGCTATTAGATTTGTGTGTGTTTCTCTTCACTGTGTGTTTCTTTCTCTCTCTCATGTTAAGACTCTCAAACCTCTGCACCTGATACTCGGGTAAACGGCATACCTGGTTACAATGCAAACACTGAAACATTTATGTCGACATTGCGGCCTGCATGCTCCAGCTGATATGTGGAGAGACAGTGTGCTGACATGTGGCGGTGTATCGTATTTCACAATAGGAACATGGGAGTGGAAACGATCAGTGTGGTCCATATGATGAACATTAAGTATATCATTTTAGATTATTATAAAACTGATAACAGTCTGGTCAATAGTTTTGCACCAAGCACACAGATCAGGATGGCAATACAACATAGTCTCCAGTCACCGCGACAGGCAACTAACCGAGCAGGTTCAGCTCAGTATCCAACAGTATTCACAGCAAGAAATAAGAAAAAATGACCACTAGTTCAGCTGTTGGTATTAAAATAGACACTCAAATGAAAGATCTCCTGGTTTAAAGGTGCTGTCTGGAGGTTTGTGAGAGAACTTCAGCACGGTATCTCTCTTCCCCCAATCTGCTGAGTTTTTACTACACTTTTAACAAAATGCAGGGACAGAGAGAAGAAAAATTACTGACAATTGACAGCTGCTGCTCTCACCTTGTTGAACAGTTTAACAGGTGCTGCTACAGACCCCATTTCCCTTAAGTAGTCAAACCATTTGAAAGGAAGTTTGGTGTAACCTGCAAAAGATCCATTAACAATATTATCCTACTGTCAAATACTTTACACTCCTGACCCAGATGACAAAAGGAAATCATCTCACTGTCACAGCAGAGCACCATCTGGTACTTTCACAATTGGAGTTCAAAATGGATAAGAATAATAACTAGTAGCTAATGATCAGAGCTGTGAAGCACACAACAGGAACTCCTTAGCAACTAGCAACAATGGTCATTTTTTTTTTACACACCATATTTACAGAATTTCTGGAATAAAATTTAATGTAAAAATCCATGGAAGCTGACTAAAGTGAAGCGCTATGAAACAGCACGGACGTTATGAAATCACTGCTCAGTTGCAGCAAGAGCATGTTGTATGAACATTACCTCTTGGTGGCGTTAGCTCAATCTTGTTAATTTCAGAAAACCCCACAGGAAAGACTGAAGGAGATGTTGAGTGGTAGCAAAACCAGTCAGAACCATCTGCTGCCTCAGAGCCATCTATCCCGATCATTAGGTACCCCTCTGCTAAAACCTGCAGACACAAAGATGATTAAAGCATTAAAGCGCACTGGTTCTTAGAGAGCAACACCTGCGTGAAGCTCGCTATATAAATGTAAGTTGTTGTTGTAAAGCAGGGCTGAAATAAAATACATATCAACCTGAACTTTCTCTCCCAATTTTGAAAACAGATAGCACAGAGGTTCCAGACCTGAAGTGTGGACAAATTTTGTTAAAATCTTTCCACAGAAATAAAACAAAGCTGCAACCTGGATCACTGCTCAGGATTTACAATGTAATAATAATAATAATCCTTGCATTTGATATAGCACCTTATCACGTCTTCGAGATGCCTCAAAGCGCTTCACAGTTTAAAGGGAATTGACTGTATATTTTGTGGGTAAACGCAGCTTCAAATTTAAATCTGTCTGTAAGATCTGAGCAGCTAAAGTCCATGAGAGATCTGCCTCAAACACTAAATTTGCATAAATGAAGCATATAAAGGAATAATACTACAGCTTTGAAAAAGGATTCAATATTGAAAACTATAGACTACAGTCGCTCTTTTAAGGATAATCCAGAAAATATGGTTCATGGGATTCACCACATGTTCCGAACTAATGGAGCAGAATAATACAGTAGTTTAAAGCCATCTCCAGCAAGTAACTACATTACTTACACTTGAACGGAAGTTCACATTCTGCTGATGGCACCAGTACTCAAGTTCACAGAGTTTCACACACTGATCTAGCCATCTTAGGCAGAGTGTGGGGGGACACAGCAAGGAAGATGTAGAACAACAACAACTTGCATTTATATAGTGCCTTCATGTAAGGCAATGGTAGCCAACCTTTTCAGTAGGCATAAATCGAGAAATATTCAATGAAGAAACATTTATTTTGTTGGCCAACCAAAAAGGTTGGCCAGCACTGACGAAGGAGAACATCTGAGCACTTTACAAAGGCAGGGCCATTGCAGTGCATGAGCCACTGTGTGCTGCATAGTGTTTTACCTTTCTTACAGTTGCTACACAAATAGCAGAAAGATTTAGTGGATCAATTGCTTCCAATTTCATCCCTTCCTGGTACCACTCTCCACTCTGGTCTACATCTTTCACCTGCAGGTACAGCAAGAGTCAATATAACTAAAAGGGTGCAAAGAGTGAAGAATACGACTTTCAACTCCCAAATACTGTATAACAAAAAGTAAAAACTATCTTCAAATAAAGATAGAAATCCTCACAAGTAACATTATTGAATAGAATTATTCTTAGCTCTCCTAAAACCAATACATATCAGGGATTACACCCCCGCTCCCCATACTTGGTAACAGAATTGAGCCTCTGTGGTTGGCTTGGTAGTCTGGTACCTGAATCAGACTAGTCTGCATTACTTTAATGGTTACTGCTGTTAACTGGGGCCAACAGAAAATTGCAGAAATATTTGCCAATCTACCAATATTGCAAAAAAATTAACGCTTTCTTTTACAAAAACTGGGTGTCCCACTCGCAGGCTGTAGGCCTGGAGATCCGCCAGACTCCAGCATTGCTCACCAGGCTCGCAAGTGTCCTGAACGCAGGGCTCCAGGAGGTCACTACCTCCTGCCTCTCAGGGCCTGTCACTGCACACAGACATAGAGAGACACACACAGAGACACAGAGAGAGAGACAGACAGAGAGAGAGACACACACACACAGAGACACGACAAACACACACAGAGAAACTCTCCGTATGTGTCTGAGTGCGTGCGTCTATCCCCGTGTGTGTGTGACACTCAGACACAGAGAGAGAAAGAGACAAACACACAGGCACAAAGAGAGAGACATACTCAGACACACAGAGAGGCACACACAGAGACACAGAGAGACATACACTCACAGATACAGAGAATACATTCAGACACAGAAAGAGAGAGACACACACACAAGAGACTCGCGCTCACAGATACACACTAAATAACAAATTACATTTGTATAGCGCCTTTCACGTCAGGACGACATCCCAAAGCACTGAAATAGACACAGAGAGTGACACATACACACAGGGATAGACACACACTCATGCACTCATAGACACATACAAAGAGACACACACTCAGATACATACAGACAGAGCAGAGCGACACTCAAGTCATAAGCACACACGCACACACATACACACGCAGACAAACACTCACAGACACAAACACATACCCAGAGAGAAAAGACACACAGACCATCACTACGGGTGAGAAAAGCCCATTTCCTGCTCTGCCCACAGTTCAGCGTCGAGTAAATAGCCAGCAGCGCACAGAGGCCCAGTGCCGAGCTCACTGTGCTTTTACAGGTTTTAGCGGAGGGGGTTGTTTGTGGTCAATTCCACAGAAAAACTGCAGCTGCACTTTTCTATTGACCCAGCTGATGACAAACCAGCCAGCCTGTCTCATTGGCAGAAAGAATTTTCGGGGCAGGGATTCTGCCTACCCCACTCCCGTTCACTCTGCGAGCTAAGACTCTAATGGATAAAGTGATCCTTATTGGACAAGCAATGGGAAGTTTGCCAGATAGTGCTCACAATGGCAAGCTGTGCCGTTTCAGCCAGTTAAAATCCAGAAGTTACCCCAACACGCATCTGGGGTCCCGAGCCCTTGTCTCTTGCCAACTGGCACCTAATATTTGCCAGAATTAGGTAAGCAGGCTGCATCTTAAACTGGCCTGCTCACCTAAAGGGATATTTCCAAGTTGTATTGAGGTCAATAGTCATCTCTATTTAAAAAAAGCAAGACTGTTATTATCCGAAATACTTCATATATCAAAGCATTAAGATACATTAACAACTTTGTATGTCACAATGTTACCTTTGCAAACAAATGTGCTGCAGCATCACACTGTACATCCTGCTTCTTTGAACCATCTAGATTAAAACACATTGAAATTAAAGATTTACATGCTATGCCATCAACAAATAGCATAATGAAGCACAGCCCACAAAATATACAGTCAATTAACTTTACAGTATATTCTGTGAAGCGCTTTTGCGACATTTCGAAGATGTGATAAGGTGCTATATCAAATGCAAGGACTATTATTATTACAAATACATGTAAAATAAGACTAACGAAAAACCAACTAGTGCAGATTTCCTGTTGTACTGCAGCCATAAACAGTTATACTCAAATTTCCAGGATAGATTCCACAAATGGATCAGCTCACCATTCTTCAGTGTACTTTATACACAACAACCCTATCAAATTGCCCAGAACAAAGTGATGATCACTGTGAGACACACAATAAAAAGAGCCCATTACTGTCAACGACCTTTATTTCTCAAAAACTAGTCCAAAGTCAAAGCAGTTTATATTGGTGAGCACCACAAGGCTCTCAGAGACTTGCCTATATCTATACACCTCAAGTTCCCAGTCTTTAGGGTATCTTCAAACTGCCAGAAGATTTTTTTTCCCCAGTGGTGGACAGGAGAAAGTATGATGAGCTGTGCTCTCAATCTCCTTGGAACTGTGCTTCAGCCAAGGTGCTACAGCTATAACATGCTCTTTACACTGATTCAGCTTCAGGACAAACCTGATCGTTTATCGGATATGATGACAGAACCGATTTCCGGTTTATTCAGGCGGAGGATAGGTTACCCGATTTATAACAGAAAACACGAGAAGAAATGCAGCTTATTTGGAGCAAATAAATAAAAGTCAGATTTTTACCCGATCGCTTAAAACGATGTCCAATACTCCGAGACCAACCAACAGGGTGAATGAGGGGACTCAGCATATGACACCAGAAATCATCCGTCCCATCATCGCATTCTTCGTAGATCAGCCGCAATCGGCCTCCCACAATGCTTTCAACCACCGCTATCCGTGTTCGGCAGAGGTGCGTTTTATCAACCACTTCCACACGCATAGCAGTCTTGAAAGGGTACTGCATGCTCTCAGCAACCTACAGAAGAGATTTTAGTTACTGAAGTGAAACGGCAGCACCATCTCTTACCGCACCAATTTCTGTAAACAGCCTGTATGACAACAATCGCAGCTTCACCACTTTTGGCAAACATTGTGCAGCCCAGCTCTTGAGTAGCATTGGGAGAGGTTTGGAAGGAAGATAGTTTCTGAGTTGGAAAACAGGTACCTACCTTAGAGCAGAAATCAGGAGGAAGTGTCTTGGCACCCGTTAATCTTTTCACAAGAAAAGCTTTCCAGTTTGTGTATTTGTGATGGATAGCTATGAAATAAAAGAAAAATAATCCTTATAATCCTTGCATTTGATACAGCGCCTTATCACATCTTCGAGACGTCTCAATTTTTGCCGAAACATTAAAATCAATCTCAAAAGTCAAGTGGATCATATTGAGTCGAGGGAGGTAGCAAGTACCTGTATACTTCTGGTGTCTTTCAGCCACACTATGTTACCAGGCTTCATGCCCGAGTACTTATAATTTGAGGCCACCTGGTCACAGATACTTGGGATGGAACTGACTTCGAGACATACTAAGTGACCTTCCAGAAATATCCTGAAGGAGGAAGAGGTGCCTACAGCCCATTCATTCTGAGCGACCATCAAGTTCCACTTGAGCTCAAACGTAGTCTCCCAGCTTGCCTTTAAGTGACATGGTTAAAGTTACAAGGCGCCAAAGCCAAGGAGCTGGACAATTAGTGTTTCGGACCCGAGCTTGGGGTCAGGATCGGGGAGGGTGGAGAGAAGGGTGGCAAGGAGGGTGATCAGAGGCACGATCGAAGAGGAGGGTCTTGAGATGGGTCTTGAAGCAGACAAGGGAGAGGGCGAGGCAGAGGGACTGCAGGATGGCGTTCCAGAGGGTGGGGGCAGAGTGACTGAAGGGCCACCCACAAGTGAGGTGGGGGACATGAAGCAGGCCGGGACCGCTGAGGCGGAGGGAGAGAGTGGGCGGGATGGTAGGGGTTTAGGAGGTCGCAGAGGTAGGTACAAGATATGATTAGGCGCTATATCAAATGCAAGGATTATTATCATCATTATATAAGGGGATAACGTACAGTGAAAAAGCAACCCATGTCCCCAGAATGTTCAACTCTGACTCACATTAGTTTATACTAAAAGGCAGACTGACATTGGAACACTTACTGCGAGGAGTAACTAAAGGCTTCCCACTAGTTGCACACCAACCAACGGGATGGATATCAGAACCGCAGATATTACACCAGAAGTCAAGACTGGAGTCACTGTCAAAACCTTCGTATCGAAGGAGAGCCTTGTAACCTGCAAAATAAAGATCTTTATTTTAAAGCCAATAAAGTATATTTGACCCTGTCAAATGTCTAGTTTCTCTTTCGAAACGTTCTGCTATCTTAAGTAAAGAGAGGCAGGACCCTATGCCACATCATGATTTACTCACTGGCCTCCCTACCTTTCCTCCCCAGAAACTCAAACTGTTTTCCCTTAGAGTAGGGGTTTTCCCTCCTTCCTAGTGATATGCTCAATCAAGCAAGAATAATTAAAGGACTGGCCAAAACTCATGCACAGAGGGAAACTGCATTGATTGTTGAAATACCTATTTCAAGGGGCTCAGATCCCCTCTATGCCTCGCTAAAATCAGTGTTGCTGTTTGGTCACAATTCCAATGCCAAAGCTTCAGTTAACATCTTCATTTCAGAATTTCACCATTCATGCTTTCTTTTAGATCAGTGTTTGGCTGTACCTGCTAGTTTGATAATAGCTGCAATCCAGAACACCTTGGTTGGCAGATTACTGTCTGTATTAGGAACTTCCACCCTTACACCCTCTGCAATGTCACCCCAGCGGGTTCCCATAGGTACCTGTTTAATAACAAAACACATTTTATTTCTTGATAGAGTGGCATTAAAGGCATTGCAGCATTTAATCTTTCAGCATGAACATACACAACAGTCACAATATATATACAAGCATCCCAATTCAGCACTGCCAACTACTATCAGCATATGAACGGACACAGTACAATGTTACACCATAAAATAATGAAGTATACACCAAAGATACAAAGATTCTCTTTAAATGATGTTCAATGGCCATACAAAAGGTCACCCTCCCCTTTAGATTTTCACTTCCAGTCTGGCTATCTGAGGATCCACTTGGGAGTACCACATGCCAAACCACATGGCCTCTTGGGTTGATGAATCAAGTAAAACATTGCTTCTTTAAGCTGCTTAAATGCAGCTTCTATTGTATCCTGCATACGTTAGTCACTCACACAGGCCAACTGCTTGGATGATCTGTGGCATTTGAAAGCATCCAGAATCTGGAGATACAAGACAGACTGACTGCTCTGGCAGCAAGGACACTAATGGAGAGCAGGATCAGTGTGATTGCCATAAAGTGACGATTGCCTGCTGACATTGAGTGAGAAAAATAAGGCTTGGCTATGATGGATCCCTATCAGTCAAAAAGGCTGCATAGATTCAGAGGACTGCCAGAGCCAATCGATTGTACCCCGGTATGAGTCAGTTCCTTCAGCAACCAAATGGGTGAGATATATTGAGCACAATTTTTGACATGAACGGTAACTCATAAGCACTTACATGTTTAAAGCAGCTTACAGGAGCCCCTGTAAACTTATTGCTCCAGACATAATGACCCCAGTCAAATCCCTCCACAGAGATTGCTGCAAATGAAACACACATGTTAAGCCGTACAAAACATCCAACAGTATGCACAAATTCAGTTTGCAATAGATGTCCAGGAAAGAGACATCTTCAACACACCAATGCAATGTCTATTTTAATCACAAGGATTGTAAACGTTCCCTAAATATCCAATGAATCTGCAATTTTTCCATCAGCAAAGGCACAGAGCTACAATGATGTAAACATTGAAGAAATTACAAAAAATTACAGCAACCTTTAAAATAAAGGATTTATAAAATGGCTAGTTTCTATATTATTCATGAATCACCAAAAACAACAACTTGCAATTAATTATATAGTGCCCTTCATACGGATAGCATCTCGAAGTACTTGAAGTCAGTCACAGATCGAAATTCTTTGAGATTAGGGTTCCCTCTAGGGTTCCAACTTATTTTGGGAAAAAAAGTTAAATGTTACGTTCCTAAGAAGTTTAAATAATACTAATTGCATTTGATACATCATCTTGTATCTGCAAGTGCTGACCTGGAAACATTTTCAATGTATCTATGATATTTAAAAATCGTGTTTCAGTCAGCTTTTTCAGCAGTGTGATGGAAAAACTGCAAACAGAGGTAGTATACGGGTTGGAGAGATGATCTCAGATCACAGCCCCTTTATAGGGCACATGCACACCAAAGCTTACATATGTGCACTGTTTTGGGAAAATATTTTTTTTGTATATGGGACTATCACTCTCATTTGACAAGAGTCATTAGTCTGGGCTGGAGAATAATAATAATAATAATAATAATAATCCTTGCATTTGATATAGCGCTTTTCACGTCGGGAGGACGTCCCAAAGCGCTTCACAGAACACACTGTAAAGTGAATTGACTGTATATTTGTGGGCGAACGCGGCAGCCAATTGCGCACAGCAATGTCCCACAAACAGTCGTGGATTGAAAATGACCAATTTATTATTGTTTTGGTTTTGGAATATGATATGAGAACATGATAATAAAATTTTCAGAATACAATCAATGCATCACCTGCTTTACTCTTGGTTTGGTTCTGTTGTAGGCTAGCCTGGTATTGTGCGTAGGCTGCTAATTTAGCTACTAGAGGTTGCTTCTGTAAAACCTTTGCTTTCTTTGTTGGAGGTTTTCCCTGTTGAGAAGAAAAGATGCAGGTTTGTGTTTGATTTAACACATCTTTCAAAGGAGATCATAATTGTACTTTACATTTTAAAGTCTAAAAATAGGAGACTCTTAAATAAATGAGTAGAAGCAATACTTTGAGCTAAATAATTAAGGATATAAATTGTGAAAAGGTACTAAAAGCTCCATGCCATAATGACACCAAATAAACACATTGTTGGTTTGATGTCCAAACCCAGCTCTTCCTCAAAAATATACATTTCAGTAAATTACCCTTTGGAGTTCCTCAAGCTCTTTTTTGGAATCAGCTCACTCAAGCTAACATCTATTTATTGTACAGTAACTGATTTTAAACAACAAATTTACTTGCAATTCTACTGATAAGTACGTATACTATAAAACTAAAGCACACAATTCTTTTATGTGATTTCATCAATATGTCCATTAACAGATTTCAGAATAGCCCCATGTCACAAGCAATGATTTCTGTGACACAATCCGCTAGTGTAATTACGCCTAAAAAGGCAACATCAAATTGCCAATGACAATACTGCCCCTGAAAGGACATCCAGTCAAAAACATTAATATATCAGCAAATAAATGTCAGCAAGACAGTACCTGAAGTCTGGCTAAAATGCTGGCTTTCTTGGAGTTGGATGAATAGCTTCTGGAGCAGGAAACACTGCAAAACCGTTTGGTCTTGGAATAAAAGGCATCCCTCACACCAACCATCCCGCACATCTCACAGGTTGCTGATAGACATTATAGAACCAAAGAATCCAATTAAAATGTGATAGATCTGTGCTGGGCAATAAATACAATTCGGATCATATTCAAAGGTGCTTAAATCAGCTGTGATGCAGGGAACAGCTCCCTCCTCTCTGCATGCCTCAATCCAGGACATCCTTACTGCACCATTCTACATTGTGTAAGAGTTCCAGTTATTTTGTGCATCCACTAGGGAATGGGTTAAACAAAAAATATATTTTATTCTTCACTCATTTCACTTCAAATTTTCATAGAGAAAGATTTCAATCTCTCATCCTTGCTGGATTTAAATGCAAGTATCACATGATTAAGATACTGGTGGGTCATTCAATTTCCATTCACCACTGATGGCAACCATCTCCTTTACAACCAACCTCAGTAACTCCCTGAGTCACAGCACTGATTTGTCCATAGTAAAATACAAACAAATCAATCAACTTTGCCCACATTGCAATTTTTAAGAGGTCCTTAATTAAAATACTCTACAACTGCACTTTTAGATAACATAACATGTAGGAGAAGGAGTAGGCCATTCGGCCCTTCGATTCAATCATGGCTGATCTTCTAATCTAATTCCAGCTAATAACCTGACCCTGCCTTATCCCCTTAATCCCTTTTGCAATAAGAAATCTATCTCAGTCTTGAATATGTTCAAGGACTAAGCGTCAACAGCCCTTTGGGGTAGTGAGTTCCATACATTCACCGGCTTTGAGTGAAGAAGTTCTTCCTCAACTCAGTGCGAAAGGGCTGGCCTCTGATTTTAAGGTTGTGACCCCTGGTTTTAGTTTCTCCAACCGGGGGAAACAATCTCCCACTATCTACTCTATCATGCCCTTTGATGATCTTATAGGTTTCTATAAGATCCCCTCTAATTCTTCTATATTCCAGAGAATATAGGCCCAAATTGGTCAGCCTATCCTCATGATTCATCCCCTTCATCCCTGGTACTAACCGAGTAAATCTACGCTGCACCCCCTCCAAGGCAAGTACATCCTTCCTTAAATGATGAGATCAAAACTGCACACAGTATTCCAGGTGTGGTCTCACAGGGCCCTATACAGTTGCAGCAAGACTTTCCTACTCTTATACTCTAATCCTTTCATAATGAATGCTAACATACCATTCGCCTTCCTAATTGCTGCTGTACCTGCAGACTAACTTTCTGTGATTGGTGTACAAGGACACCCAAGTCCCTCTGGACGCTAACACATTCCAATCTCTCCCCTTCTAAAAAAAAAAACACGCTCTACTGTTTTTTGCTACCTACCTTCGCACTTCCCTACATTATACTTCGTCTGCCACCCACCTGCCCAATCACCTAACCTATCTATGTCTCACTGCATTTTTTGAATGTCGTCCTCTGTGTTGACACTTTCTCCTAGTTTTGTGTCATCCGCGAATTTAGATATATTAACTTCGATGTCCTCATCTAGATCGTTGATGTAGATGGTAAATAGCTGAGGCCCAAAGACTGATCCTTGTGGCACTCCACTAGTCACATCCCACCAATCTGAAAAGGACGCGTTTATCCCTACTCTTTGTTTCCTACCCGTTAACCATTCCCCAATCCACGTTGATATGCTCCCCCCAATTCCATGGGCCCTTATCTTTTGGACTAACCTTTTATGCGGCACCTAATCGAATGCCTTCTGGAAGTCCAAATAGACCACATCCACTGATTCACCCTTATCTAGTTTACTCGAAATATCCTCAAACAATCTATGAGATTTGTCAAACATGACTTCCCTTTTGTAAAGCCATGTTGACTTGGCCTAATTATATTGTGTTCCCCTAAATACCGCACTACCACATCCTTAATCAATTATTCTAAAATTTTTCCTATCGCTGAATTGAGACTAACTGGCCTATAGAGCCCCATCTGTTCCTTTCCACCTTTTTTAAATAGTGGTGTGACATTTGCAATCTTCCAATCCATTGGGTCTGTTCCAGAATCCAAGGAATTTTGGAAGATCAGACACAAGGCCTCCACTATCTCATAAGGTACCTCTTTTAAAACCCTGGGATGCAAGCCATCCGGACCAGGGGATTTGTCACTTTTTAGTGCTAACAGTTTCCCTAGCACCAATTCTCTACTAATGAAAATTTCTCTAAGTTGCTCCTTGTCCTTATCCCCTCGGTGCATCTCTATTGTTGGCAGACTTGGTGTGTCTTCTAGGGTGAAGACAGATGCAAAGTACCCATTTAGGGACTCTGCCATGTCCTTATCCTCCATTACGACTTCTCCCGTCTCTGACTGAAGTGGACCTACATTTATGCTCACTAGCCTATTCCTCTTAATGTATTTGCAAAAACTTTACAATCAGACTTAATATTCCTAGCTAGCTTACCCTCATACTCCTTTTTCTCGCTCTTAATGAGTTTTTTAGTTTTTTTTTGCTGGTTTCTAAAACTCTCCCAATCACAGCTGAATTTTGACAAACATTTCTACAAACTCAGTATTTCAAAGTCAAATCTTGTCCATTCAATTATTTGTCCATTCTGACCAAACAGATAGTATATACAGGGGATCTGCTCAGCTGCCTCTGACCTCCCAAACACCACCTTCTCCCCATCTCCCCCTCACACCATGGCCCCAACTCATCCCTCCCTCCAAACCTGTCTCCTCAGCCTCTATCACCAGCATTATAACACATAAACCTGCTCCCTCGAGCCCACCCCTACCCCTCTCCTTACCTCTCAACTCCACATCCTTGCCCCTACTTACAGACCTCATCAACCTCTCCCTGTCCATCACACTGTTCCCACCCCTTTAAAAACAGCCGTTATCACACCTATGCTCAAAACATCTTCCCTGGACCCATCCCTGCTCTCAAATTAGCAACCCATCTCCAACCTCCCTTTCTAAGGTCCTTGAACGAGTCATTGCTTCCCAGTTTCGCTCCTTCCTCTCCGGCCATTTATACGAGCCCCTCCAATCGGGTTTCCATGCTGCCCACAGGCCAGAAACAGCCCTGGTCAAATTACATTCTGTCGATCTGTGACCAGGACTCCCCTCGGACTCCACATCCTGCTTCACCTCTTCACTGCCTTTGATACCATTGACCATTCTATCCTCCCCCACCGCCTCTCCTCTCACCTCAACTTTCAAGGTTCTGTCCCTGAATGGTTCAGATCCTACCTCTCACATCGCCTCCACTTCGCCCCCACAAATACCTTCTCCTCCAGCCCCCGCACCATCTTGTGCAGTGTTCCTCAGAGTTCTACCCTTGGTCCTCTCCTTTTCAACTTGCACATGCTGCCTCTTGGTAACATCATCCGCAGACATGTAATCAACTTCCACATGTATACGGATGACACCTAACTCTATCTCTCTGCCTCCACCCCCGACTCCAGGACCACTGAAGAATGTCTGTCAGACATCAAGTCCTGGATGAGAACTGACTACGCCAACTCCCTGCTTGTCGGCCTTTCCAACTCTTCCCTCCACATGCTGCAGATCAACAACAACAACTACTGCTACTACAACAATATGCATTATATATAGTGCCAACAATATAGCGTCCTTCATCCAGTGTAGCATTGTAGAACACTTAACAGTGGCAAAGCCTGACTCTGAGCCGGAGTGGGGGGAGGCAGCCGTATGCATAGTCGAAGAGTAAGGTTTTCAGGCAGGAATTGAAAAGGGGGAGAGAGGGGGCAAGTGGAGGGATTGAGGGAGAGTGTTCCAGAGTTTCGGGGAGTAGTGGCTGAAAGCGGGACCTCCGATAGTGGGGCGGAGGGTGCAAGGGACGAGCAGGAGGCCGGTGCCAGTCGAGCAGAGGTCGGAGGTGGTGGAATGGGGAGTGAGGAGGTAGGAGAGGTAGGGAGGTGCCAGAGAGTGAAGGGATTTGAACACAAGTGTAAAGATCTAGAAGTCAATCCGTTCAGTGGAGCCTAGCCAGAACTGGTGAGATGCGAGTATGGAGATTGGTCCAGGTCAGTATGCGGGCAGCAGAGTTCTGAACGAGCTGGATCTTTTGAATAGTGGAGCTGGGGAGGAGTGAGGAGTGCATTCGAGTAATCCTGGCTGGAGCGACAAACAGATGCACAAGGGTTTTGGCTGTATGGTCAGAGGCAGGCAACATGGAAGAAGGCGGTCCAGAACTCTGCAACTCGTGTCCTCTCCCACAGCAGCCCCTATGACTCCATCAATCCCACCTTCACCCGGTTCCACTGACTCCCCATCCCTCAGAGAATAGAGTTCAAAATCCTCATCCTTGCCTTCAAGACCCTGCATGGCCTTGCTCTTTCCTACCTATGTGATCTTCTAACCTTTTATCAACCTGTCCACTCAGCAGGGTCCAGCCTCCTCCACGTCCCCTGCCCGGTCCGTCCCACTATCTGCATTCAGGCCTTCAGCCTCTCTGCCCCCACCCTTTGGAACTCCATCCCACATTCCCTTTGCCTCACTCCCTCCCTTGCCACATTCAAGGCATGTCTCAAGACCCTCCTCTTCAACCGTGCCTTCGGCCACTCACCTAACTTCCCTGTCCTCCATCCCCCTAATCCCAACCTGCCCCCTAATCCCAACCATCCTCCTCCCTACCCCCTCGAGTCCAAATCCCTGAATGTCCAGTACCTTGGAACATTCTCTTGACGTGAAAGGCGCTATACAAATGTAATTTTATATGTGTATACACAACACTATTATAGATTTTACAAAGAAATTGGACTTTTAAAATTAATTTATTAAACAGAAACTAGGACCACTGTGTGATTAGATTAGGGATCATGTACAAAAGCAGCAAACAGTAAGCGGCTGCATCCATACTCTATCTGGGCTCAATTTCATTACTTTCCAAGTATCTTACAATGGACAATTGAATCATCACCATATGAACAGGTCAATTACAACCAAAGTGAACAGAAGTTATCCTTCACTGACCCATGCCAGATTTCCCATCGGGATATGTGTAGACTTGTCCATTGGTTTTGATGAGTGGAAGACTGGCTGGTATTGAGGTAACTTCCTCCTCACTCTCATCTGAACTTGAACTGCTGCTGCTATCCTCACTGCAGCTGTCATAGCCGTCAAACATTCCAAACGAATCCCTCCTCTTTCTCTCAGACCGTGGTGAGTGCTCAGCCTGCAAACGATTAAAAGAGCAAAACATTTCAGTCATATTGTGGTAAATTTAGTACCAAATTGAGGAAAGACTCCCTGTTTCACTCTTTGCTTGTATTTTGGTATTCCATGTACTAGTCATGATCAAGAGAAATCTGTCCCCAAGGCTCTGCCAATATAACTCAAACCAACCACTAAGTCAGAGCACAGGTCAAGTGGGCTGCCTCAGTTTCCCACCCCCTTTGTACATTTCTGGTCTCTGATCAAAATAGAATTGAAGAAATAGTTAAAATGTGGAGGGATCTCTTCATGGTACAATATAACTGTCTCAAAAATCTCTAGCTCAATGTACATTGCGTCTAACTCAAACACCCAGCAGAAAACATTGGCAAATATTTAGGGATACTCAACAGTGGCAAGTAATAAAGCAAAGATGTAGTCAACTCTATCCTCAATTAAATAGTAAACACCCACTCATACTTCAAAATAAAACTTGCTCTTTAGCACATTATATACAATACAGTATCTACTTATTACTAACATCTCAAAAAGAGGAAGTCTTTCTTCGGATGTGTTTGAAACACAGTGACTCAATGCTGAATCATATTATCAGCCATAACATCAGTTTCTGCATACCTCAGCATGGAAAGCCTATTGTAGCATTTCTATAATGTCAGGTTGGTTCAATTGATAGCATTCTCATTTCTGGGTCATAGATTGTGGGTTCATGTCCCATTGAGGACCATTGTCTGTCTCACGGCCCAGGCTCCAGGGTAGTTTTGGGAGGATTTTATAATGTTGTCTGTACCATTCTTTGAATGACGTATTAAACTGAGGTGCCATCTGCCTGTTCAGGTAGACATTAAAGAACTCACTTCACTATTCAAATTGAGGGGACTTTCTCCCTGTGTCTTAGCCAAAGATCATCCTCCAGTTCAATTGGTCTTTCAACTCTTGGCTGTTTGTAAGACACTCCTGCACGTAACATAACCAAATTTGCCTACAGATATATAGTCTCCAGGCTGCTACCCTGTGTGATGGGTATTATAGAAATATAAGTTATTATTGTCACTACAATTAACAATATTTACTTGATGTTTCCACAAGATAAGGTGCTATATCAAATGCAAGGATCACCACTAACTACAACAGGGCCTGAAAAGTAAACTTGTTTGCATACTTCAACAATGGAACTGCTAAAATATTCCCAGTTCCAGCCTTCTTGTACCTAATTTTGAAAAATGCACACTAAGCAGTGCATTTTCGCACTGACCCACCAGAAGAGGTAGGCTTTAAAAGACAGCTAAAAGACGACGAGCTTCAACGTCATGTTTCAAAATTCCTAAATATTAAGTTCAGTGAGATCAGGCTCTGGTCACCTTGAGTTTGTTTAGTACCTGTAAGATCTCATAGATGGTTGGGCATCAGAGACGTAACCAGCAGGATTCAGGTAGTGAAGCACACAGCCAGCTTGTCCCCTGTTGCAATATTAACGTAACCAAATGTGAAAACACAATTTGTTTCATTGTTAAAATTTCTGAATCTACATGAACATTTGAAATCAAAGATTTTTGCACACTGCACTGTGGAATAGGCTTTCACGAGCAAGACCACGAGCAGACCGTAACAACACTTCACAGCTCTAAGGAGAACAATCACAGCTTCTCTAGTCTCTCCACATAACTAAAGCCCTTCATCCCTGGCTCCATTCTGGTAATTCTCCTCTGCGTCCTCTCGATGGCCTTGATATCCTTTCTAGTGTGGTGTCCAGAATTGGACTGAGGCCTAACAAGTGACTTATGAAGCGATAGCAGAACATCCTTGCTTTTGCACTCTATGCCTCGATTTATAAAGCCAAGGATCCCATATGCTTGTTTAACAGCTCTATCAACCTGTCCTGCCACCTTCAAAGACCAGTGTATGTGAACCTCCAGGTCTCTCTACTCCTGTGCCCCCTTTAAATCTGTACCATTCATTGTATATTGCCTCTCCTCATTCTTCCTCACAAAATCACCTCCCACTTATCTGCATTAAACTTCATCTGCCGTGTGTCTGCCCATTTCACCAGTCTGTCTAGGTATTCCTGAAATCTGGCAGGAGGTCAACTCACTCACTGGCAAATCATAAATAAGTTCAATTCAACCTCATTCATAGAAATAATACTCTGAAGATTCTCCCTTCATCTGGGCAAATATCTCACATTTAGAATGCAATCACTTTGAGGCTAGTTCCTGAATTAAAATTGAGACAGATTAATTGCTAAAAGCACTGGTGGAAAATACTGTAAGAGAAACTCTCCTGTCGGCACTGGAAGAGGAGAAACAAAAGTGGAAGTTGCATACTTTCCAAAATTACATAAATCAAGCAAACCAATTGTCACTTGCCTCCTACTATTAACTATTAACCAGCAGCAGTCAGTCAGGAAACAGCATATAGCACAGGACAAGAAAACTACATTCAATAATTATATTTTTAAAAACTGTTATATGAATTAGTCAGAACCCTTACTGCAGTTATCATCAGCTTATCATTCCGTTATGGCCAGTGCAAGTAGTATAAATGTCCAACCACTGAAAAACTAATTTCATTCAGAACCTGAATTTACTTTGAAAGCATAAACTAGTAACCCAAGGCCCTTCATTCCAGATTACATTTGAAACTCAATAAATGTTTAGCAATAAAACCTCTGGAATTAATATGTCAACATGCATCTGACAACCGATCAATTTGGAAAAACGTGCTTCCCAGCAGATAAATTACTAGTCCACATGATTAGAACTACAGTAAAATATTAATTAATCTGCAGATTTATTTTATCAACAAGAATAAATAATGCTTGAGATAGAGCTCAATCGTTTGACTGTCTCAATTATTTTTGCGTGAATTAAAATGGGTATATAAATGAAGATCCTCTGAGATTACATTTACCATTTCTTGAACACTAAACAATAATCATCATGGAGTCCTGTAGCTCACTGGTTAGAGCACTCGCCTCGCAAGCGAGAGACCTGGGTTCGATTCCCGGCAGGACGAAATCTTGGGTAAGTTTCCTTATTCCACACGGCTAATAATAATTCCTCAAGGAAATAAATAAAATAACAATTTGGTCACTCAAACCATGACTGTTTGTGGGAAACTGCTGTACGCAATTGTCTGCCGCATTTCGCCCACAAATATACAGTCAATTCACTTTACAGTTTATTCCGTTAAGCGCTTTGAGACGTCTCGAAGACGTCTATATCTTTTATTTAATATATAATCAGCATCATGTACAGTGGAGCATAAATTGTAGCCCACATGCTTTATCATCAGAAATGCATTTATACCACCTGTGAGCAATTATCTAAAGCTTCAAATAGTTGGAAATATTAATTCTAAAGAGAACAACTTTAACCTGTCTCATAGCACCATCTGTGGCATTCCCAGGAAACACAAACACTGTTGTGACCCACTTTCCTTTCTCCATAGATGCTCCAGACCGGCTGAGTGTTCCCAGCGATTTCTGGCTTTGGAACACAAACACTGTGTTGGGATGGGAATGTGTTGTGTGAAACTACTGTAGTAAGTAACTCCTTCAGTGTGTCAGAGGAAGTAAGCTCTTTCCCAACCCTTTGCAATGTTGCTCTGTAGTCTCCTGGTAACAGCAGTGGGTTGGGGGGGGGGGGGGGGGGAGAGAAAACATGTACCCAACCTCCCTATACTGTGCTGCTGTGGGAACTGCTGGTTGTGCGCTCTGCCTCTGGGCAAACCGCACAGCTCTCTCAGCACCACAGAGAGCGACTGGACAACTGGGGCAGACCCCCACTCAGCGCCAGGGCAGCCGAGTGCTGCCAGGCCTCGGCCGGGCTGCCGAGGCACAGAGAGAGAAGCGAGGGAAGCCCCATGTCCCCACGAGCGGGCTGCGGGCAGGCAAGGAGCAGCGCCTCTCCCGCCGGCCACTCACCTTCACTCCAGCGCCTGTAAAGCCTGAGGCCTCGGCATTCCGCACTGACTTATAACAAAGAGCAGAGGGGCTGCTAGCGGCTCGGCCGCGCCGCCGGTCACTCACCAGCTCCCGCGGGGTGTCCATGCGCCGCCGCCGCTCCCGCTCCCCGCGCCCCGGCCGTTGCAGCAGGAATTTTGCGGATTGTTGTGAAGCGCTCGATGCTGAGGTGAAAGGGCAGCGCTCGCGCTCCGCTGCGGAACATCAACAACACCACTGCGCCTGCGCCGGCCAGCGTGCTGACATCACGCGTCCCGTCACTTCCGAGACGTTACGTCTGTCCTGGCACAACACTGCAGCTGCTGGTGATGTGGGACAGGGCGGGAGCGGCGTCCAGGGGGAGGGGGAAGTGGGTTCATAGTTCAGCTCCATGACTTTACCTCAGGGGTTACACCTTAGGTCATCGACCTGAAACGTTAACTCGCTTTCCTCTCGCCATAGATGCTGCCTATTGGCGAACGGGCCTTCAGCCACTCTGCCCCCACCCTCTGGAGCTCCAGCCCTCCGCCCCTCCCCCGCCTCCTTCAAGGCCCATCTCAAGACCCTCCTCTTCGACTGTGCTTTCGATCTCCCTGCGTCCCCCCCTTCCCCCCCCGCCCTCCACTCTCCCCACTTCCCGGGTCCGAAACTCTGTCAGTCCAGCGCCTTGGGACATCCTCCCGACGTGAAAGACACTACACATGTAATTGTGTTGTTGATGCCTGACCTGCTGTGTGTTCGCAGTTTCCCAACCAATTTAATTTACATTAAATCTGTCTGTTCAGGTGGATGTTAAAGATCCCGCGGCACGAATGGAAAAGTGTGGGACTCTCTCTCTCTCTGTGTTCTGGCCGACAATCCCCCAACTAAAATTGGTCACTCACTCCATGGCTGTTTGTGGAACGCAGCTGTGCACAATTAGCTGCCGCCTTTCGCCCGCAAAGTACACAGTCACTGTACAGTCACAGTGCGTCCTGTGAAGCTCTTTCAGACGTCTTGATGACGTGATCAGGCACTATATCAAATGCAAGGATTAATATTACTATTATTGAATTCTTCAACTGTTTATAAAACACTATATAAATAGATGCCAGTTGGTGTTGGAACATATTACTGTGTCACTTGTTTGATCTTACAACATTAATGAAATTCACTCCTACCTCGCTCAACAAATCACAAACAATACTGTTTGGATTAGGGAGGTTAGAGAGCAGAGAGGGTAGGAGGGTGGCCAGAGGCATGGTCAAAGAGGAGATCCTTGAGGCGTGCCTTGAAGGAGGCAAGGGAGGAAACAAGGCAAAATGAATGTGGGATGGAGTTCCAGAAGGTGGGGCAAAGAGGCTAAAGGCCCGACTGCCGTTCGTGGGGTGGGCTGGGCAGGAGACATGGAGCAGGCCTGCTGAGCGATGGGAGCGGACAGGTTGTTAAGAGATTAGCAGATCGGAGAGGTAGGAGGGGGCAAGGCCATGGAGGACCTTGAAGGTGAGGACGAGAATTTTGAACTCGATCCTCTGAGGGATGGGGAACCATTGGAGCCGGGCGAGGATGGGGGTGATGGGGTCACAGAGCCTGGTGCAGGAGAAGATACGAGCTGCAGAGATCTGGATAATCTGCAGCTTGTGAAGGGAAGAGTTGGGAAGGCTGACATGCAGGGTGTTGGCATAGTCAAGCCTGATTGTAATGAGGACATGTTTGAGAGTTTCGGCAGCCGGAGGGGTGAGGCAATGGCAGTTGGGCAATATTGCAGAGGTGGGGGAAGGCAGAGCAGGTCATGGCATGGATGTAGGGGAGAAAGACAGTTGAGGGTCGAACCTCAGTTGGTGAGGTGGGGTTTGCATCCGTGTATGCTGATGCTGCCAGTGCCTGAGGTGCGGAGGCACTGTCACGAGCCAATCAGGAGAGCCTCGGGTTTGCTGACATTCAGCTGTAGAAGGTTGGCTCTCATCCAGAACTTGACAGCAGTGGTCCTGGGGTCGAGGGTGGAAGCAGAGAAATAGACTTGGGTGTCATCTGCGTATGGAAGTTGACCCCCATGTCTGCGGATGATGTCACCAAGAGGGAGCACTACAGGTTGAAGAGGAGAGGACCATGGACAGAGCCCTGAGGAACACCAAACAAGCTGATGAGGGGGCTGGAGAAGCCATTTGTGGAGAAGCCATTACAGATTAATAAACAATGCCCTTTTACAATGCCCTTTTAGTAGGCCCATATAAGGATCAATATTTTTTACACTTAAATACTTAATTCAATGATCTATTTTAATTTAAGGTTAACACAAAAGACGTTTATGCTGTCTTTGATTATTGAGCTGATTTTGAGGCTGTGTAAGATCCCTAAAGATCTCTAAAGACTGAATTGTCATATAATTTACAGATCAATAACCTCTATATCAATAACCGCAAATGTTACTCACCTGTAAAAAAAAAAGGGGCAGAAGGATAACAACAACAACAACTTGGATTTATATAGCGCCCTCCACACAGGATGGCGTCTCAGAACGCTTTACAGTAACGGATCCCGGGGCCAAGCCAGGAGGAGGGGGAGGAAGGTGACCAAAGGCACAGTCAAAAAGAAAGGTCTTCAGCAGAGACCTGAAAATAGGAAGAGAGGGGGCGAGGGGAAGGGAGTAAGGAAGTGAGTTCCGGAGCCTCGGGGCATAGTGGGTGAAGGCATAGTGGATGGAGGACTCGGGGGGGATAAGGAGAAGGCCAGACCCGGAGGAATGAAGGCAACAGGCACTGTTTTGAGGAGAGAGGAGGTCAGAGAGGTTGGGGGGTGCAGAGGAGTGGGGGGATTTGAAGACAAGGGTGAAGATCTTGAAGTCGATCCTCTCTGGGACAGGAGCAAGTGCAGTCTGGCAAGGACTGGAGTAATTGGGGAGCGGAGTCTGGTGTGGGTGAGAATGCGGGTGGCAGAGTTTTGAATAATCTAGATTTTGTGGATGGTAGTGGAGAGGAGGCCGGCGAGGAGTACGTTGGAATAATCCAGCCGAGAGGTGACAAAGGTATGGACCAGGGTTTCAGCGGCTTTCGGAGAGTGCTATTGGCGGAGACGGGCGATGCGCCGGAGGTGGAAGAAGGCGGTGCTTGTGAGTGACCGGATGTGGGGGGGAAGGATAATTAGGGGTCGAACCTGATGCCTAGGTTGCATACGAGTTCGGAGAGTTTTAAGGGGAGGTCGAGTAGGTGGAGGAGGTGAGAACTATGAGATTTTAGACGTTGATGAGAGCCAAAGAGTATGGGTTCCGTCTTGTCAATGTTCAGCTGAAGGAAGTTTGTGCTCATCCAGCCTCTGAGGTCTGACAGGCAGGCTGACACAACATCAGGGGACTGGGGTTCGCAAAGAGAGTTGGAAAAATAGAGTTGGGTGTCATCTGCATACATGTGGAAATATACCCCATATCTGCTGATGACATCCCCAAGAGGGAGAATGTAGATCAGAAAGAGGAGGGGTCCAAGGATGGATCCTTGGGGTAACCCGCAGGTAACCAGGTGAGAGCGGGAGGAGAAGCCGTTTGTGTAGATGTATAGCTGGCGGTTTGTGAGGTAGGACTCGAACCAGGCGAGTGCAGTCCCACTGAGGTGGATGACTGAGGAAAAGCGGTGGAGGAGGATGGGGTGATCGACTGTATCGAAAGTGGTGGAGGGTCCAGGAGGACAAGAAGGCAGAGGGAGCCCTGGTCACAGATAGAGAGGATGCCATTTGAGATTTTCACACATGCAGTCTCTGTACTGTGGGCAGGGCGGAAACCAGACTGGAGGGGTTCGAAGAGGGAGTGGGAGGAGAGGTGTGCGCAAAGTTGATTGACGACAACGCGTTCTAGGACTTTTGCAAGGAAGGGCAGATTAGAAATAGGGCGGTAGTGGCTGGGGTTTGAGGGCTGGGGTCAAGGGAAAGTTTTTTGAGGAGGGGGGTGATGACTGCAGTTTTGAGGGGGGCAGGGACTGATCCAGAGGAGAGGAACTGGTTGATGATGTCAACCAGTAGTGGGCAGAGAAGGAGGAGCTTGGGTGACCAGCAAGTTAGTGGGGAGGGGAGAAGGTGGTAGATTTCATAGAGGTGATGGTAGGTGAGAGGGAGGAGGGAGAGATGGGAAGGAAGGAATGTGGGATGGGGGTGGTGGTAGGAGCAGATGATAAACCTAGGAACTGTAGGCCATGTCAGCCTAATGTCAATAGTGGGGAAACTTCTAGAGACCATAATCCGAGACAAAATAAATTTTCACTTGTTAAAGGCAAATCATATCGAACAAACCTAATAGAGTTTTGTGATTAGGTAACGGAGAGGGTAGACGAAGGTTATGCAGTTGATGGAGTTTAAAAAGATTTTCAAAAGGCATTTGATAAAGTGCCACATAAGTGACTTGTAAGCAAACTAGAAGCCCACGGTATTAAAGGGACAGTGGCAGCGGATACAGAACTGTCTGGGAGACAGAAAGCAGAGAGTGGTGGTGAACGGTTGTTTTTCTGACTGGAGGGAAGTGCAGTGGTGTCCCCCAGGGATCAGTATTGGGACCACTGCTGTTTGTGATCTATATAAATGACATGGACTTGGGTATAGGGAGGACAATTTCCAAGTGTGCAGATGATACTAAGCTACGAAAAGTAGTAAACAGTGAGGAAGAAAGTAGCAGACTGTAAGGGGACATAGACAGAGTGGTAAAATGGGCAGACATGTGGCAGATGAAGTTTAATGTGGAGAAATGCAAACTGATATATTTTATGAGGAAGAATGAGGAGAGGTAATATAAGCTGATTGGATAATCTTAAAGGAGGTGAAGGAACAGAGAGACGTGGGGTTCATATAAGTAAATCTTTGAAGATGGTAGAACAGGTGGATAAAGCTATTAATAAAACATACAGGATACTAGGCTTTATAAATAGGGCCATAGAATAAAAGTCAGGAAGTTATGATGAACCTTTATAAAACAATGGTTAGGCCTCAGCGAGAGACTGTGTTCAGTTCTGGGCCCCACACTTTATGAAGGATGTCAAGGCATTGGAGAGGGTGCAAATGAAATTTACCACGATGGTACCAGGAATGAGGGACTTCAGTGATCAGGAGAGGCGAGAGAAGCTCGGATTATTCTCCTTGGAGCAGAGAAGGTTAAGAGGAGCTTGATAGAAATGATCATTTTCTAAATTGTGAGGGGCTTCGATAGACGAAATGCATTGCCTGAAAGGCTGATGGAAGCCGATTCGATAACAACTTTTAAGAGAGTAGATAATTATTTGGGGAGGACAAGTTTGCAGAGCTATGAGGAGAGCGTGGGGGAATGGGATTGATTTGGATAGCTCTTTTCAAAGAGCTGACACAGACATAAATGGCCTCCTTCTGTGCTGTACAATTCTATGATTCTATGATATGCCTCAGCTTCCAGACGAGGAGATAATATTTATTAGAATAATAATCCTTGCATTTGATATAGCGCCTGATCACGTCATTGAGACATGTCAAAGTGCTTCACAGGATATACTGTATAGTGGATTGACAGATAAGGGTCCCATGGGGACAATCTCCATGTGCCACGTGTGAGATGCACAAGTTCTGAAGATGAACCGTGACAGCATAAGCAGCAGGCCTCTTACGGAGATCAATGTCGGAGTCTCATTAACCCTCAAGATTCCTCTGGGTGGGTTGATTGCTTATTTTTATTTGGGATCACGTGAACCGTGGAGGATGTCAATGGAAGCAGAAGAGTGAAGAGGAGAATAGGATTTCAAATAAACTTTTTAATGTAGAGGTTATCTGAGGATTGCTTTGCCTATGGGAGTTAAAGTCATCTGGTGATTTTGCGCTTATGTAATAATAATAATCCTTGTATTTGTAGCGCTTTTTGTCTTCTAGATGTCTCAAAGCGCTTCGCAGAGTATACTGTAAAGTGAGTTGTGGGCGAAATGCGGCAGCCAATTGCGCACAGCAGTCTCCCACAAACAGACGTGGATTGAAAATGACCAATTTATTATTGTTTTCTTTTGGAGGCATTATTATTAGGTGTGTGGAGTAAGAAAACTTGCCTAAGGTTTCACCCTGCTGGGAATCAAACCCAGGTCTCTCGCTTGCAAGGCGAGTGCTTTAACCACTATGCTACAGGACACCTACGTACTCTCATGTATAAAAAGGTAGGACACAGTTTGTGCCTGTTATCAAAAAAACGCCTTCCTGAAGGGAATTAAAGGTGTCCCCGCAGACAACCGTTTTCCTCCCAAACACTCTAGGTTACAAATAATCATAGAACTATTTGGACCTGATACTATCTTCATGATCATGCGAGCAAGTCAGGTGAGCAGATCACCCTGCCAGCCAGGCAATCCCAGCCTGAGCCTAGTCACAAAGTGCTCAAGCTAGTTCCATATTCCAATATCTCCGCTTCCTCTTTGTGAGGGCGGATTAAACCCCTCAGATCGTAAGTAATACTGATCTCAGAGCACCAGCCACAAAAGAAGAAGTTGTCAATTTTAGGCGATGTGTGATTTCTAACTTCCTCCAAGTGAATGTGCGTCCTGAGCTTCTATGAACAGCAGCCAATGAAATGGCATTTGTAAATTATATTGCCTTATATATTCTACATCATTGGTGTAATAAAGATCAGATTAGACCAATTGGTTCTGCAATTGGTGCTGATATTGGAATTAAGATGAGGAAATATCTTTTGGCAAAGTGTAAATCAGCAGAATTTGAGTTATTGCTGCTCAGGCCAAAGTGTGATGCCCTGATTTCTTATCCTGTTCTCATCTTAGAAATGCAGCTGCATATTAATTCACACACTGTCAATGCTGTCAATACTGATGTACGTGGTGAATAATAACAATCCTTACATTTGATACAGCGCCTTACATGTTGGGAGGACATTGCAAAATGCTTCACAGGAATTACTGTAATGTTAGCGTCTGCGTATTTTTTAGATGAATGAGATAGCCAATTTGCACATAGCAATGTACAACAGCCATGGAGTAATACAACAACAAACAAAATTTTATTTGTATAGCGTCTTTCATGTCAGGAGGACATCCAAGGCGCTGGACATTGTGTCCTGGACACAAACTGAGGGTTGGGATTGGGGAGGGTTGAGGGCATGGGGGGCAGGAGGGTGAACAAAGGGCAAGTCTAAGAGAATCTTGAGACGGGTCTTGAAGGAGGCAAGGAAGGGGGCGAGGTGGAGTTCCAGATGGTGAGGGCAGAGTAGCTAAAGTCCTGCCTGCCAATGGTGTGGAGGGCGAGGCGGGGGACATGAAGCAGGCTGGAGCCCGCTGAATGGAAGGAGTGGGCAGGTTGGTAGGAGGTCTCAGAGTTAAGGGGGAGCAAGGCCATGGAGGGCTTTGAAAGTGAGGACCAGGATTTTGAACTGTATCTCCTCTCTGTGATGGGAAGCCAGTGGAGTTGGACGAGGATGGGGGTGATAGGGTGCGCAGCTTTGTGCAGGCAAGGACACGGGCTGCAGAGTTCTTGATGGTCTGCAGCCTAAGGAGGGAGGAGTTGGGGAAGCCGACAAGCAGGGAGTTTGCATAGTCGAGCCTGGTTGCGTAGTCAAGCCTGATGTTCAACTGTAGAAAGTTAACTTTCATCCAGGACTTGATGTCTGAAGGACATCCTGTCAGGACAGCAATGGTCCTGGAGTCAAGGGTGGAGGCAGAGAGATAGAATTAGGTGTGATCCACATACATGCAGAAGTTGACCTCATGTCTGCGGATGATGTAACCAAGAGGGAGCAAATAGATATTAAAGAGGAGGGGACCAAGGACAGAGGCCTGAGGAACCCCACAAGACAGTGATATGGCAATAGATACACATTCTGGTGTTATTACTTTGTGGGAGTAGACCCTTCATTTCAGGGAATAAAATGGGAGGGGATGAAACCCAGTGTTTGTGAGGCTATGGAGGGAATGGGATTGATGCTTTTCTGAGCGCCCTGAGCACCACTGAATGCTACCAGAATAAAGAACTTATTGAAAAAATTATTAAAGTGCCTCACCACATCTGAAAGCATTCTCACAAGTAATTATTGCCAAGGGACCTTTGGCTGCCATTTTACAATCATGAAGAGAATGACAGAGTAATTAGTGGATTGTTGGTTAAGACACAATGCCCTTCCCTTCTGAGCGCCCTGACACGGCTCCCCGCCTGGGGGGGGGGGGCTATATAAGTGTAAGTAGTTGCTGTTGTTTCCCCCCCAGTGCGGAGTTGGCCCAATCTGATCGCGGAGGGCGTGGCGAGCACAATCAGGGCGTGGCTGACCAATGTCTCACGTGACATACGTCACGTGACGGGCTGCGCGAGCGGATAGAGAGTTGGCGGCGCGAGCGGCATCGGCACAGCTCCGATCTCGCGTACCTCCCGCCCGCCCGCCGCCACAGCCCGGGATTTATCAGCGAAAATGGAGCTGGACGACGGGGTGGTTTACCAGGATGACTCGAATACGAACGTGATGTCGGAGCGGGTGTCGGGCCTGGCGGCCAGCATCTACCGCGAGTTCGAGCGGATGATCCGCAAGTACGACGAGGACGTGGTGAAGGAGCTGATGCCGCTGGTGGTCGGGGTGCTCGAGAACCTGGACGCCGTGTTCGCCGCCAACCAGGAGCACGAGGTGGAGCTCGAGCTGCTCAAGGAGGACAACGAGCAGCTCATCACCCAATATGAGCGCGAGAAGGCGCTCCGTAAGCACGCCGAGGAGGTGAGGGCGAGAACGGGTGCGTGTAAGTCACGGCGCCGGGCTCCAGTCCCGCTCACACCGCTCAACCTAACCTACGGCGTTGACCCACTCTGCTCCTCCCTACTTTTCTGTGATAGGTTTATGGCGCCTCATGCGTCATTCTGATTGGTCACCTTGGTGTCAATTACACAGCTTTGGTCCCAACACGTTAGGGTGAGTCAGAATGACAGGCTAACGGGCCCCAATTTTAAAAACTCCAACTTGGGTGCGATTTATTATTAAAGGAACATCAAAACAAGTGCCAGTTGCACCAGACAACATTGCAGTGGTTTATATGGTCGTTGATTGATTTACTTTCGTTTACCAAATGTCACCTGTAGGACTTGTTTAAGGCAATACGATGCCCCGGAGGTTTAGTAACCAGCTCCTTTATCAGTGAATATTAATGAAGGAATGACAACTTAAAATCGGTGTATTTTGCATGAACGATCTTTTGTTAAGCTGGTGAAACTAGGGCAAGAAGTTTCAGTGCAGTACCTCAATTGTCTTGTGTTCCCATAACCTTTTTTCTCTCAACCAGATAACTTTTTTTTATTGGTGTGCAGCCCAGAGTTTAATAATCTTTGCATTTGATACAGTGTCTTTTCACGTCTTCGCAATGTTTCAAAAAGCGCTTCGCAGACTATACAGTAAAGTGAATTGACTACATTTTGTGGGTGCAACGCAATTGTGTATGACAGTGTCCCACACAAATGTGGATTGAGTGACCACAATTTTTTAAATTTTAATTTGAAGGGATTATTACCCCCCAGAAAAGCAATCCACCAATTGACTAACAACTGGGTTCCTGTTTACTGCTCAGTAAACAGAAGCGTGTGGAGTAAGGAAACTTGTCCAAACTTTTGCCCTGCTCGGGAATTCAAACCAGGTCCTCTCGCTTGCAACTCGAGTGCTCTAACCACTACACTACAGGACTTCAAGAGTTTAGCCCTCTTTGCATTTTTCATCTTCCTCAGGCAATCTGACATGATTACTTTTAAAGTCAAGTGATTTTTGTTGGCTAACACAGTAAGCTCCTCACACAGTGAACTCCTTTCCACGCTAAGATGAGCTTAATGTTGCAGCAACCAAATTTGGAGGATATCTCAAAGTTCTTTGCCTGATTTACTATAAAGACTGTGTTTTGAAGGCGAACACAGCAGCCACTTTGCACACAGCAATGTCCCACAAGCAGCCATGAACTGAATTAATGATCAATAGTAGTTGGGATATTGTTGGTCCGGACACAGAGAAATTCCCTTTTTTTGAACAGTGCAATATATAAACAGGTCGATGGGTCTTCGGTTTAACTTCTCATTGTAGAATAATAATCCTTGCATTTGATATAGCGTTTTTCACATCTTCCAGACCTCTCAAAGCGCTTCACACAATATACTGTAAAGTGAATTGACTGTATATTTGTGGGCGAATGGCACTTCCATCAAGGCAGCACACCCCCAGCAGTACGTTTAGAGTATCAGCCTAGATTATATGAATTCGAAGTCCAGACATGGGACTTTGAACACACAACAACTTTCATTTATATAGCACCCTTAACGTGTAGTAGCGTCCCTGAGTGCTTGACAGTAGTGGAGTCTGGTCCTGAGCCAGGGGGAGAGGGAGTGGGGAGTACGATCAAAAAGGAAGGTTTTTGGCAGGATTTGAAAGTGGAGAGGGAGGGAGCAAGCCGGATTTCTGACTCAGAGGCAAGAGTGTTACCAACTGGCAGAGAATTATGTTATGTTACCCTGAAATACTACCAGTAAGTAGATCTGAGTTGGGGATATTTTGGATGTACGTATAAATGATACAGTACATCTTTCAAATGTTTATGTAATGTAATACAGGATTTGAACTGCACAGAAGCTTTTGTTTTACTTTGAGACATATTCTGATGAAATTGTCAATAATTGGTTTCCCAGTTTGAAGTCTCATTGTTGTTTTTGTATGGTAATCTCACAAGGTCCTGCCAGTGGTTTCAAAAGTAGCATCATCATCACCAACAACAACAACTTACATTTATATAGCGCCTTTCACATAGAGTCTCGGAGCTCTTGACAACAGTAGGGGGAGGGGTGGGGGAAGGTGACCGTAAGCACAATCAAAGAGGAAGGTCTTCCAGCATGAACTTTTTATAAAAAAGAAAGAAAGGGGCAAGGCGGAAGGATTGAGTGAGAAAGTTGGGGTGTATTGGCTGAAAGCACGGCTGCTGCTGATGGATTGGAGGGGACAAGCCGGAGGCTGGAGCCAGCTGGAGGCGGCGGTGGCGGAGTGGGTAATAAGCAGGTTGGAAAAGTGGGGAGGTGCCAGGACGTGAAGAATTTGTAGATGAGTCTGAGGATCTTGAGGCGGTCTATTCTATGATAGGGAGCCAGTGGAGCCTGGCGAAGACTGGTGTGATTGTGGTACGGTATTTAGAACAGGTGAGTATATGGGCGGCAGAGTTCAGAGTTAGTTGGATTTTGTGATTGCGGAGCTGGGGAGACCGGTGAGGAAGGCATTGCAATAGTCGAAGCTGAAGGTGACAAAAATGTGGATGAGCATTTCTGCTGTATTGGGTTTGAGGTATGGTCATCAGCGGCGATCATTGTGACAGAGGCGGAGGAAAGTGGTCCTTGTTAGGGACCGGATGTGGGGTAGGAATGACAGCTGTGGGTTGAACCTGACGCCTAGGTTACATACAGATTTAGTAAGTCTTTAGGAAAGGCCAGAGACGTTGAGGGGTCAGACCACAGGAGAAGATGTTGACTGTACTGAGATGTATGGCTTCCATCTTCAGATGCAGGAAGCTTGCCCTCATCCAGGTCTTGAGAGCACCACAATTAAAAATAGTGAGGCGACAAAGATGCAAATCCATTGCTGAAAAATCTGTAATTGATCTGTAGAGAATCCAGGATACTGGTTCAATTGTGAATCTCCTGCCATTTCTTGTAATTGTCACTCACTCTACACCCTATAATCACACTTTGTGACCAAGAAATTCACAATTCTCGCAGAACATTTCATTTTTTTTTCTGTACAGCCTTAAGATTGAATGCACCTTTTTGGAATTCCACATATTACATGGGTGGGTTTCACAAGTCCCATCTTAGGGCATGTAAAGATGGTAATAGCAGATGCAATAGTTGATTTGCATCCACATCACAACAAAAGAAACAGAAATTTTGACCCCATTAACCTTCATCAACTTTATGAATATAGGAGCTTCTTGCTCAGTTTCAGTTCCCTTCTGAGTGTCACATTCTTAATATGCAAGTCTGAATGGTGCCTTCTCTGCTGCCTTGTGTATTGTGTTTTAACATAATTGACTCTGTATGAAGTCTGTACAATACTGTTTGCATAATAAATGCACAGTGTGCACTAGGCAGTACTACTTTATGTCGTGCATTTACACTTTGATCCAAAAGGTGAGTCCTGTCTTATCAGTGTTATGTTTAAAACATTAAAACACATATTTATCGGAGAAGTTTAGGGTCTTTGTTTAGGTTGATAAAGTAAGCCTTTTCCTGCAGATTCTATAAGTGGAAAATTCTTAATCTCTACCATTCTGGAGTCCTGTAGCTCAGTGGTTAGAGCGAGAGACCTTGGTTCGATTCCCGGCAGGGAGAAACCTTAGGCAAGTTTCCTTACTCCACATGATAATAATCCCTCAAGAAAAAAATAATAATTTGGTCACTCAATGCACGACTATTTGTGGGACACTGCTCTGTGCAATTGGCTGCCACATTTCACCCACAAATATAGTCAATTCACTTTGCAGTGAAGCGCTTTGAGTGTTCTAGAAGACGTGAAGTGCTATATCAAATGTAAGGATTATTATTACATGAACGAGCCACAATCCTTAAATAAAGACAAATTATTTGATACGCTGCCGTTAGGTTTCAGATATGTTACGTTGTTTCACCAGCATGCGGGACGTGTAGCATCTCATTAAAACCCAAATCTGGCTGAATATTGTAGAAATATCAATGTCCTATTATTTGTCAGGAATTCAAAATAACATTTAGTCAACAATTTTAGTAATACACCTTCCCTTCCACAACAGTGTTCCTCATTTCACATGATCCAATAACACTGGGTGTGCTGGAACCACCCTGTCCCTTTTATATTATTAGATTTGCTGGTATCTAATTTTAGTATTGGATGCAAATGACTGGAGGTGACCATGACTGAGCGTATATACAATGCACTTTCTGTCTGATTAGCACAGAGACTGGACTTAATTCTCCCTGCCTTCTGTGGAGAGAGGACATTGGTATCTGTTTTGAATTTATGGCAAAGTGAGGTACTGCAGACGTTAAAAAATAATTTGCGCTTGTATAGTGCCTTACACATAACAGAATGTACATTCACCAGATTTTACAGCTGCCTTTGGGTGTTTCTGCTTATGTGGAAATGCCTGCATTGTGTAGACGTAAAGGTTTAGGTTGTAACTTGTTTGTGGATTACACAACTGAACAAACCTGATCTACATATCACTACCTCCTGATTACAGTCATAAACAGTGCTCTGTTCCTTGTATCAAATGCAAGGATTATTATTATTGTTGTTGGCCTGCACTTTAGCGTTAGTCATATCAGCACAGCTTGCTTTGCTTGCTGAATTACTCCAGAAAAAGTCTAAAGTTTCTAAACCAAGAGTAAGATGATTAAAGGAAATACCCTGGCAATTTCTTTCAAAGGAACAGTGGAGCTGGGAGTGAGTATGGCTCGTCGTTTCCCCCCCCCCCCCTTCCTTTGAACTATCTGACATCAGCTTGGTGGCTGAAGGTATATGCTTGAGATCAATGTTCTGCCAGTTTCATTGGCTGAAAAGAATCAGGAGGTTTGAAAAAAAAATGCAAAATACTGCAGATGCTGGAAATCTGAAACAAAAACAGAAGTCGCTGGGAACACGCAGCAGGTCAGGCAGCATCTATGGAGAAAGGAAAGTGAGTCAACGTTTCAGGTCCACAACTTTGTCTGTTCTGACGAAGGGTTGTG